TAAAGAAAATGAGTGTAAGTAGCGACGGGGGAGACCCCGTCGACATTGGAAGGAAAAGAAAAGGTCAGGCAAAAAAACGTAAATTAGCATTTAATGATTCAGGACTTTCTGATAATTATAAAATGTACACCAAACCAAATTACAAGAGACAGTTCCCAGAAAATCACAGTGTTGATTGTGTAGTATATGTAGAATCAACGGAAGACGAAAAATTAGGGAATAAAAATCCTATGACTTTGACTAAACTATTCACAGAAAATGTAAAGGGTATCGTAGGAGTTCATCGAGTGAACGCCTATAAAATTGGCATCACGTTCAGGAAACCGGCACCAGCAAATAATTTTCTTAAAATGGACCATTTTTTGAATAAAAATAAATTTCGAGCTTTTGTACCCGCATATTTATCAGAAAAAACCGGCGTTATTCGATATGTACCGACAGATATGTCCAATGAAGATATATATAAAAATATTAGCTGTGACGCAGAAGTAATTTCTATTAAACGTTTTATGAGAAAAGTAGATGGGATCCTTACACCTTTAGGTACAGTTGCTGTCACATTTGCAGCAACAACATTGCCACAATATGTCTACATTCAGTTGTTCAGATATCCTGTGCATACTTACATTCCACCATTAGTTCAATGTTTCAAATGTCTAAAATTTAACCATTCAGCCAAAGTTTGCCGAGCCGTACAGATGTGCTCATCGTGTGCTGGTCAGCACTCGTATAAAGAATGTGATGTTGACACGATAATGTGTATTAATTGTGGTGGCAATCATCTAGCTATTTCTAGGAATTGTCCCATTAAAAGGAAGAAAATGGAAGAGAAGAGGAACAAGTATCTCAATCTTAGTTATGCCACTGTTGTGAGTATACCTTCAAATGTTTCAGAGTCAAAAAATTTTCCAAATCTGGAAAAATCCAGTAATGTATATAGCTCTCAGTTAAATTCAAATGTAAATAAATCCGAATTAAATAAAGATGAAATTGTAAATAATGATATTATAATTAATGCTCTCGTTAAATCTCTTGTTGCTCTTGGGAACAACAATGAGAAAATGTCAATAACTCATAAGAAAATTAAAGAAATATTATTGTCTAATTTAACTTAGTTTTATGGATACATATATAAACATAGCACAATTTAACATACAAAGCTTACAGAGTAAAAAAGTTCTGTTACAAAAATATCTTACTGAACAAAATATTGATATATGCTTACTTAATGAGACATGGTTTAAAAGTAATAGTAAAATTCCTAGGTTTGCATCATATAATTTTATTTTCAAAAATTCTACAAATCCACACAACGGAATTGGTATATTAATTAAGAAAAATTTTAAATATAATATTATTAATACTACTTTCTTTGAAGCTGTTCAAACTTTATGCATCTCAATAGAAACATCTATCGGTAAATTACATATTCTGTGTGTATATTGTCCCCCTAGTGGAAAGTTTCACACCAATAAAATTAAAAAAGTACTTCTGGATACTCCTAAACCATGTCTCATTATGGGTGATTTCAACGCACATCATATTTTGTTTGGTTGTAACACAAACAATAGTAGAGGTAATATTATGTTCAGTCTTATAGATGAATTCAATTTATATGTGTTGAACGATGGTAGTCCGACTACTGTTCCAGTCTCAAACAGGCAAGCATCAGCAATAGATTTAGCTTTAGTTAGTCCTTCAATGTCTCCTCTTTGTGAGTGGAAAGTCCATGATGACCCGATGGGCAGTTATCATTATCCGACTCAGGTACGTGTAAATGTGAAGCCATCAATATATGAAGTTAGACCTGTGGAAGACAAATATTTATATAATAAAGCAGATTGGTCTAAATATTACAGTTTATCTGAAATTAGTTTTTCTCACTTAGACATTTATAACAGTACTGAACCTTTACAGTTATATAATGATTTTGTATATATTTTATATAATATAAGAGATAAGACAGTTCCTAAACAAAAGTTAAAACAATCTTTCCAATTTTTGAGAAAACCAGCTCCTTGGTGGAATGACATTTGTGATGATGCTGTTCAAAAGTCTAAAGAAGCCCTGAGACAGTACAGAAATTCTCCATCAATTTCTAATTTCATAAATTACAAAAAAGTTGATGCTAAAAAGAAAAGAATTCTAAGGGAACAACGCACAGAGTCATGGCATCAGTTGTGCACCAGTTTCAATAGAACAACACCTATTTCTAGAATATGGAGTTACATCAAAAGGTTTAAAAGATTAGATAATACTTCAAATAGAAACCCAAATGATGAATGGATACCAGAGTTTTTAGACTCATTGGCAGCATCATCACATTTACAAAATGATATAACAGATATTTTGAATCTGTCTGAAGAAAATGCTAGTAACTCATTTATTAATAAACCCTTTACATTACATGAGTTCCACATTTCACTAAAAAGTCGGAAAGATACAGCTCCAGGGTTGGATGGTATAACATATTTTTTAATTAAACAATTACATCCTAATGCAAAGAAAATATTATTAGATATATATAATAAACTTTGGGAATATTCAATTATACCAGAATCTTGGAAAACCCAGTGTGTTATCCCTATTCTAAAACCCAATAAACCTGTAAATTGTGCATCATCATATAGACCTATCTCCTTATCTTCATGTTTAGGTAAACTCTTTGAAAACATGTTAAAATTTCGTTTGGACTACTATGCTGAATCACAAGATAAGTTGCCAAATATACAGTTTGGATTCAGAAAGGGCAGAAGTTGTTCTGAAAGCTTTGTATCATTAATATCTGTGTTAAAAAAAGCAAAATTAAGTCACTCTAATGTAGTATGTGTATTCTTAGATGTTAAAGGTGCTTTTGACAATGTGAATATAGAATGTTTAATTCATGTGTTGCATAACTTGGGTTTGCCAAGTAAAACATTAAAGTGGCTTTTTAGTTTTTTAAATAATAGAACTGTTTTTGTTAAATATAATAACATTTTACATGGACCAAAAAATGTTAACAAAGGGACTATGCAAGGGGCCACATTGTCTCCTTTATTGTATAGTTTGTACACATCGGAGATCCTCAACTATGTGGATAATTCAAAAGTTAATATTCTTCAGTTTGCTGATGACCTGCTTTTATATAGTGAAGATCAAAATTTAAATATGGCCATTAACAACATTAATTCTGCATTATTTCAGCTTCATAATTACTATAGCAATTTTTTAAAATTAGAAATCAGTTCAGAGAAAAGCTCAGTTTTGGTATTTAGTAGAGAGAGAGATCCATCTTTATTATCCAGAGTGAAAGTTTTATATAACAATAAAGTAATCCCAATTGTTAATCATCATAAATTTTTAGGTGTAGTATTAGATGACAAATTAAAATTTGATAAACACATTAACTATATCTCCCAAAATGCAATGAAAAGTGTAAATGTTTTGAGATGTCTGGCTGGAACTTTTTGGGGTTCTGACCCTAAAACTCTAAATTTGCTATATAAAAGTATTGTTAGGAGTCATTTTGATTATAGTAGTTTGGCTTATATGAATGCTAGCACCACATTGTTGAGGAGACTCGATGTGATACAGAATATGAGTTTAAGAATAATTTGTGGAGCCATGCGCTCCACTCCTATTAATTCTATGGAGATTGAAAATTGCATACCTCCATTATCCCTCCGACGTTTACATTTGGCTCAACGTTTCTGTTTGAAGGAATTGTCTTTCAATAAAAATATGGTCCTTAATAATATTATATATCCAGTAGAATTTTCTTCTGTTGTATCCTCCAATATCTCAGCTTCCAGCATTGTTTCTAACCCCTTGCCTGAAATTCCAATCATAATGTTAAATGTTAAAAATACAGCAAATCATATTTATGTAAATGCTAAATGGCCAATGTACAAATGTCCTTACAATTCATTGCTTAACTATCTAGATATTAAATGTTATATAGACTTAGTACATAACAAATTTGATTTTCTTGAATTTTTGAATAAGAAATCACATTTCTATGTAATCTATACTGATGGTTCTAAAAGTGCAAACAGTGTTAGGGCAGCATATTATGATCCATAAAACAAACTCACAAAATGTATTAAATTGGAAGAAAATTGTAGTATCTTTACAGCTGAAAGTTATGCTATTCTAAGTGCTTTAATATTTGTAAATAACTTTGTAAATAATGTAAATATATTAATAGTTTCTGATTCCAAGAGTGTATTGGAATCTTTATGTAATTGTAATTACTCATATAAGCAAAATTATTTACTTTATGAAATTAAAGATCTGTTGCGAACATTGAGTCAGAGTAAAAACATAGAATTTGTGTGGGTACCCTCGCACAGTGGCATACTAGGGAATGAAATTGTGGATCGAGCAGCTAGTCGAGAACACGATGAGGATCACTCGGAAATGTTGAAAGTTCCGTTCACAGATTATTACCGACTACTTAAAAGTAATTTAGCAAAAATATGGAAAGACCATTGGGATATAACAACTGAAACTAAAGGTAAATGGTATGCGGAGTTACAGAGAGACTTACCAATTAAACCTTGGTATAGCAAATTTAAATACTGCGGCAGGAAGTTTATTACGATCATCAATCGTCTTCGTTTCGGGCATTGCTTAGTTCCAGTTCACCTCAACAGACTCAATATTATTAGTGACAATAAGTGTAAATACTGTTTTCAAGACAATGCAGACATAAAACACATTATATTTGACTGTCAAAATTTCAACATTCAACGGCTGATACTTGTTAGTGATATTAGTGACATTGCGAAGGAACATTCACAATGCGTTCCCCGCCGCGTTCAAGATTTATTATCCAACGAAGCTTATTTTACGTCTGTTTTTAACTTCATTACTAATACTGTAGATAAAGTTTAAGAATTTTTTATGTTATCAATATTGTTAATTGCGTTTATATAGTAATTTGTTCTACATTCCTTTTTTTGTAAATATCATTTATGTCTGCGACTGAAGGACTTGTATCCATGGTCATGAATAAATTAAAAAAAAAAAAGAAAAGTTTTCAAAAAGATCTTTAATTAGTTGTATATCGTACCGTACCATACAGCCGTTAAATAACCAAAGCTAAACATAGACCTCCCTATATTGTAATGTTATGCTAGTAATTGCCACGCTTAGCAGGAGACTTAGCAACCGCAATTAAGCGTAGATGTTTTAAACGAAACTCTGTTTTTTTTTTAATAGGTGAATATTTTTTAATAGGTAATCGGCGAACACTGCTGTTAATAGATTATTTCTTATTATTTTAGTCAGTTAATAAATTGTACATAGTATCTTACATATCTAATTACCATACTTGAAGGGGATGGCAGCGTCCAGCTTTCGGGCGGAGAGTTACAAAGAGACAAGAAACCTCTTCGAAGGATTATTACAAATCATTAATAAAACCGGGCTATTACAGGATCTTTCCAGAAAATTCAATTAGAGTGGTGAATACACAGCATTTATTACAAGTTCCACTGGAGAAAAATTGGAAATCTAAAACCTCTAGTATTGGCCAATTTATTCAAAAATGAAGTCAAGGGTGTGACTAATATCATTATCAAACATATCATTGCAACCAAAGTCGGTGTGACATTTTTACAAACTAAATCAATCGGCACTGATATAATGCATACATCCCTGCAACAGCTATAGAAGCCATTGACATGCTATGATTTGTACCCACTGGTATAAGTAAAGGAAATATATTAAAAAAAAAATCTATATATGAGATAATTAAAAAAAGGTAGACGGTAATGTTAAACTATTTTGTTTTCTTTTTTATACAACAGAATGGCATGGAAAGTGGTAACCGTCGCCTATAGACATGAACAGTACCATGGACATAACAGAGTATACTGTTTCGCCCATGATACCCCCATGCGTTGCCATTCCTGAGGACTCGGGTGTTATTCTTCTGTACCCAGTAAATCACACCATATCCCATCCTTCTGTTTGTTCTGTTAGATTAATGTTTTTGCCTTGAAATCTACCAGACTATGTCTGTCTAGATATATTTAGATATAAAGTACATAAATATGTGACCCCTTTTTTACAGTGCTACAAATATTTTCAATTCAATCATGAAACTAAATCTTGTATATCTACACAGAAATGCTCAATATGTGTAGAGAATCACTTGTATTCAGATGGTAAAGCAAAAACTGTCAATGTATTAACTGTGGAGGTCAGCGTCTCGGTATCTCAAGAGATTGCCCCATGAAAAAATTGAAAATGGATGAAGAAAACAAAGCAAAATATACACAAACCTTAAAAATAAAACTTGTAAACTGTAGATTCAAATAACATCATGAAAAATAATAAAGAACTCATTGATAGAATCATAAATGCGATTAAATTGTAAATGGACTAATTGAAGTTGTGGTTTCCTTAGAAAATGATAGTAGGGCTCTGACTTCTAAAGTTATTAAAGACACTTTAATAAAAAGTCATAAAAATGAATAAGTCATTTATTAGAATTTCTCAGTACATTATACAAATTATTTCTTTATTTATTCTTTATTGTACACAAAATATAATAAATCTTTACTAATTATATTCATCCATTAAAATGTTATTGATGTTTGCTTGCGAATGAAACAATGTTGAGAGAGAGAGAGTTCCAAGTTTAACGTGCCTGGTTATAATTTTATAGGTTAAACTGGTACAGTAGATGGTCTGTAAGGTGTAGGTATATTAATTAAGAACTATTTTAATTGTTCTACTATTTCTACACCCACCTATGATTTTATGTAATCTCTAGCTATTGTACTTAAAACACAATTAGGCAATTGATTTATATTATGCACATATTGCCCTCCTACAAAAAGTGGATCAACCTACTTCAATAATGTTAACAAGTGATTTAAATGCTTGTTATGTAGCATTTGACTGCAACAGTACTGACAGTAGAGGCACTGAAATTTATAATTTATTTGAATTTGAGTATGAATTCAGGTTCTCCAACCACCAAGTAATGCTTCCCACCATCCTTCGGCATTAGACATTACTGTGATAAGTCCATCAGCAGCACCCATATGTGAGTGGAAAATCCATGACGATCCATTACTGACATCCACATTTCTCATAGAAAAATATGAAGTAGGTCATCTGACTATATTTATTCTAAAGCTGACTGGTCCAAGCTTTATTTTCAACCTGAAAAGGCATTTACTCATATTAGATTATATCATAATAATTCATTATGTAGTTATGAATTATTCATGGAGATACTAGAAAAAATATTTTTTTTTTATTTATTTATATCTACACTTATCACTATTTGACAGGTATTTTAACCTAATACAATACTGTAAACTATTGTTATATATATATATATATATATATATATATATATATATATATATATATATATATATATATATATATATATATATATATATATATATATATATATATATATATATATAAATACACATCCATATATTAACTATTGTAGCTAATTTTATAAATAGCCTATTTTTGTAAATTTTATACTTGTATACCTACAATAAAACTATTGTATACCTAAAATTTTTAGTTTATTAAAACATCTCAGTGCATAACTAAAAAACCAGTACCTTGGTGGGATGATGCGTTTAAAGAAATACTTAAAAATAGCAAAAAAGCATTAAATTATTGCAGGAAAAATTCCACATTTAATAATTACATTAATTACAAACAATTTGATGATTCCAAGTAGAAAATTTTAAGAATAAAAAAAGATAATTAGTTGGAGAAAATTATGTGAGTTATTTAACAGATGTACGCCTGTTAGTATTATTTGGAACTACATAATATAAAAAAAGTTTAAATACATACCTGCTCTTCATTGTCCTAAAAAATTATGAACGCATTCCATCTTTCCTTGACAAATATGCTCCCTCCATTGTCCCCTCCTGAAAAAGCAGTAAATGATGCGTCATTAATTAATAAAATATATATTTAAAAAAATTAGGAACACATTGTCAAAATTTATTTCAAGCATTCTCATTAAATGAGTTTGAAATAGAACTAAAATCTGGAAAAGACACCACACCTGAATTTGATGAGATGCCATGCAAGGTAAAGGTAAATCGAAATTTACATATAAATGCAAAAAATGTATTTTATATTTATAATTTGTTACAAGATTATTCCATTATTGAACCCAGATAAGCCATCCCCTGACTACAATTTCTATAGACCTATCTCTCTATCATTATGTATTGGCAAATTTCTTGAACATATGTTAATGTAATGTAAATTGGACTCTCTTTTCCGCGCTTAGCCTCTCATTTTGGCCGTTGTGCATAAGTCGTGGCTAGTACAGCCAGCCCTGTATCGCCCAGAACCACAAAAGCTTGCTAGAATCTTCCCAGGCTTCACAGAGCGTCCTCACTGTTCTGAGAACCTCTAATCTAATCACATTCCAGCTGTTTCTTCTGTGTCAAAACAGCCCCAATAAAGAGGGCTGTCTGTGGCTCCTATTGTGTATAATGTTTGTTTAATGGGCAATGGCCCATTTTTGTCCCTATCAGTTTTAAGGTTTTTTTTTCTATTTAGACATAATTAAAGGTTTTCATAGTCTTGATTAAATGTTGGCATGGCCAATTTTAATAATCTGCAATCAGTAGCCTGTATTCATATTTGAAACTGTGAAATTGGAAGAAAAAGAAGTAGATAAAGACCTGCCTTTCGTTCCAGAACCTCTTCTAGCTAGTTCGCCTGCAGCATCGTTACAATAAGATCGATTGTGCCCCTTTATCCACTGAACAATCTGGATAATCTGATTATTGATAAAACTGATATTTCTGGAAGTTATCCAGTGTCCAGTGGCATTCAATTATTAATTTGTTACTTGTCTTGTTGTTTCATAGTGCTTTTAGTACCACTGCACTATCAGATAAGAATCTGATGAAACTGAAACAATACATTTAGTTAGTTCTCACTTATATTGTTCATATTAATAGCCCTCATATTTCAACATATGCTAAAAACTAGGTTAGATTATTATGTACAAAACAATAATTGCTTACCTCCTCAACAATTTGGTTTCCATGAAAACTGCAGTACTGTTGATAGTTTTACTTCCCTCATTTTTGACATTGAAAACTCCTTTCAGAGCTATTCTTTTACAGTCTGTACATTCTTAGATATACAGGGTGCCTTTGATAATGTTAACACTTCAATTTTGGTTCCCTCATCTTGGCCATATCAGCATACCAGGGGAAGTCTGTAAATGGTTATTTAATTATTTATGAACAAACTGAGTATGTCAAGTACAATAACATTTCGCATGGACCAAGGTATGTTTATAAAGGGACTATGTAAGGAGCTATCATTTCTCCTCTATTATATAATTTGTACACATGTAAAATTAAAAAATATTTAGCTCATAGCAATGATATAACATTTTTGCAATTTGTAGATGACTGACTTGTAAATAGTGTAAATAATAATATAAACATTGCAATAAATAATTTAAATGTGGTACTAGATGAAATTTATAATTACTATAATATTAGTAATAAATCCCAGTAAAATTGGAGTATTAATTTTCTCCAAAAAACAATACAATTCTTTTTTCATCTTCAACCCATTCTGTATAATAATAAGCTTTTACCACAGTGACATGAACAAAAATTTTTTTTGTACAACTTTGAATGGCAAACAAGCTGACGGTTCACCTGATGAAAAGTGGTAACCGTCGCCTATAGACATGAGCAGTACCATGGACATCACAGAGTATACTGTTACGCCCATGATACCTTGCATGCATTGTCATTCCTGAGGACTCAGGTGTTATTCCTCTATACCCAGTAAATTCTAAATATGTTTGGATCAAAATCTAACCTCCAATAAACACATCAAGAACATCATAAAATCTGCATTAAAAAGCTTCCTAATATATTCAAAGCATTGGTTAGAGTACATTGGAGCTTTGATCCACATACACTATCTACTATCTATGTTCTGTAAGAACATAATCAGAAGTTTATTTTTCTACTAGGTTTACTTGCCATCAGTCAAAGACTATGAGCAGATGTGTTGTTTGTGGATAGTAACAAAACAGTGAGAACATACAACTACTCATACAGAATATATACTTACAGATACAGAATATAAAATATAAGTAACATATATTGTTTTATTTTTATTAAAATTCATAGACTTACAAAATGTTTAATAAAAGCATTGAGAAAGGTATGTCTCAAATATAGTTTAAATCATACACTGTTCAACATTAAACAGAAAATTTATGACTTCTGGTAAATATGTAACATTAATATGGGTACCTGAACACAGAGAAATATCTGGCAATAAAATAGTTGATCAAGCCTAGTGGCTTCAAGCTCATCAAGCTAAGTGCCCATGATGAAGATGACTTTGCCGTATTGAAAGTCCCATAGTCCCAACCTCTATGCTTCTCTCTAACAAGCCCTGAAATTGATGTAAAATAGTCATTATGTAGTTGTTTGGAGTAAATAAGTAGAACATTTATCTATTTACATATAATATATATAAAAGGTAGTTTTACAATGAAAATATATAGAAAATAATATAGAAAAACAGAAAATAGGAGTGTGAGAGACAAGTGATTAAGATAGAAAGGGTGACAGCAAAAGTGAATCTAAGAAGAAAACCTCACTGATAACAGCGATGTTTTCTTGTATGTCTGTGTGGCCAGTCAGAAAGAAAGAGGTGAAATCTATGTACAATTAACATACTTGATGGAAAAAGAAGTGATGATGTTGACAAGTGGCTTTGAGAGGAATATATACAATATTTATTTATAGACGCCACAATTACATAAATGTTAGGAAAGAAAGAGGAAAATGATCCAAAGAAGCCTGCCTACCCAACCTTGGTACCGCAACAATAAAGATGCTGCTAATAGAGAATTCATTACTACAATTAATCACATGAGATTTGATCATAACAAAATTCTTACCCACCTGTAGACTGAAAATGGTCCAGAACTCAAAATGCTCGCAATAAGATAAAAACGAAGATCTAGAGCATGTAATATTTAAATGCAGGAAATATAGTTTGGACAGATCGACGAGATTCAGAAATTGGTAAACGCTGTACCGCATTCACTGGATTTTTTTTTTTTTTTTATTAAAATCTATATTTTTTATGGATTGTTCAATTTTATTTTAAAAACTGTTGAGATCATTTAAATGTGACAAATTGATCATAAGTATACTAAACATTACAAATGTCAAATCTGTCATAATATGTCAACCTACGTAAATGCCAAGATTCACAGACAAAAATGAAGCAGACTAGACATGAGAAACTAAACTTTGTCAAATTTAAGATGATAATTTTGATAGACTACAAGAGGGATAATGATAACGTATAATCGTTAATGGATTTGTTCGATTACTATTATCATCTAAATTGTAGTGCAGTTAAAAATGTATTAATCATATTACAAAGAAATTCATATATATCGAATTAATATCATTTTATTATAAAAGCTCTCCCACAAGAACAATATTGACTTATGCGTAGTTTTATTTAGTCAGATTATTCAGTAGAGTAAGCGCGAGTTAAAATCGTTTTTTGTATAAAAACCCTAAGGGTAAAATCAATTTTAGTATATTTTTATGATGTAGTAAGTATAGTTAATAGAACATGGTTCAACAATAAAAAGCTATCATTTTTTACATTAATGTGTTGTATATTCCATACATTTCAAGAACAATGTTTAACAGTATGTCAGCGTGGTGATCGGTCTGTATAGCACATCACTAAGTGAGCGATACCCGTTAATGAAATATGTCGTTATCGGCATAATACGCCTGTGTAATACGCCTTTAATATTTTTCCAGAATTTCCTATATAAAAGAGCAGTATTGTGTGATATCTTTGCAGTTGAATTTAATAATCATAAATAACACTTTCTAATAATCAAATATTTATTTTAGTCATAAAATTAAGTATTAGGGAATAACTTATAATTTCGGTAATCTGTCACTCACACCAGGCTACAACGTTCGAGTTATAGTGTCTGTGACTGTCATCTATACGCGTAAAATGACGTCTGAAACATCACTGACTGTGTTATATTAAAAAAAATGTCAGAGAGATATTGGCGCCGATTCTGAAAAGATAATGTCTACACTTAAACTTAATATTTTAATTTAATAATTTCGAGAAATAATTATTTTATGGATTATTTTGAATTAAATTTATATTGAATTAATATATTAGAAATTTAATTTATATTGATTATTACACTAAAGATTATGTTGTAATATTAAATTTTAATTTTAGAGAGATTTAGTGTAATGTATCTCGGAATCGACCTCTTAGTCTCTATAATCTGTGGTCTGATTTTTGTGTCTTCTGTGGACTCTGACTATTGTCATTGTTATTATATTTTTTTAGAAAATTGGGAATTATTAGTGTTTTACAATATTGATATTGTAGATTTCCCCATACATACACAATGTATTTGAAATATATTTTAATATTTTTGTCAGGGGTAATAATTGTAACAGTAAGTATAATATTGAACATAATTTCGTCAAAGTTCAATTTGTAAAATACATCATTTTTTCACAAGATTGATGATGTAGGCTCTTACTAATATACATTTCCTCCCACTTTTTAGGTTTAATCTATATTATCCAAATTCATAATAAAATTTAACACGTAGGTTTAATATAATCGTAGGTCACTAATTTGTCTCACAGTCCCACTGTAACTAATTTCTAGAACAATAGGTAAATCAAACAATTCTTCAAACGTTTTATTTAGGGGACAGAACACAATAGATTGTCTCAAATACGTTGTATTGTGTGAAAATATTTTTTCTGTCTTCATACTGTATGCTATTTTAATAAACAATGGGTTACAAGACACTCATAAGTTACCATTAAAAGCTAGCTAGGGAACCAATTAGAGCATACTCTTAGAGGTACTATGAGCCAAGTGCTTAGAAAAATTTAGATGATTTTTCGATGTCGCAATAACTCCACTTTTATGTGCTAGTCGGATATACTATTGGTAAACAATGCTGAAATGAGCAAAACAAATAATAACTGATTTTGAGATTTAGTATCTAGTTATATTTATCAACATTTTTTTATTACATCAATGTTGTTGCAAACTAGTAATGTTAACTGAATATGTCAATAATTTTCATATTAAATTTGTGATTCTTTTATAAGATTTTAGATATAATTCATTATTTGCACTTTAACTTGTAAATTAAATAAAATTTATTTATTGTGAAAAAAAAATTTTCATTCAACAACCATTCAAATTCAAATCATCTTTATTGAAATAGACTTGTTTACAAGCACTTCATGTATTTTTTTTAAATCTACTGCAGGGTTCGGAATGTTGTTATCTGTTGAGAAGAGCATGTGAGAAACTCAACAGTTACTCTTTTAAATTTCTGTTAACAAATAACATCATACAATCAATTGAATAATTATATTTTTATTGAGATGCTCTTTTAATTATATTATTTCTTTTATAAAGGGCCAGTCCTATGAAGACAAAAGATGCAAGTGTGTGTGCCCAAGTCCCGCTGCGGTCCTCAACAACACAGCGGGCTCCGACCGAAGACTGTACATTGCCAATGTACCACCAAATAAATGGTAATATTATAACTAGAACTTATATTATAGGTGTTTTTTAAAAACTGGTGCCACTAATTGTCTCACTATCGATACTGTAATTCATACATTAAATCAAAATATTCCTGTATATACAACTGCATTTATTTTACTTACATCCTCTTATATTCCCAAATCATACTACCAGGGGGGGAGGAAATTGTTAATAATGCAAGTCAACCTCTACGTGATCCCCCTAGAAACCATCATGCTAAATTCCAGATACATTCATCATAATGGGCTAACTGACCTGCTTTTTAAATCTCACCTATCATCCCTTACTGGTGCCCTGTCAGTGTATATCATTAGCACAGGCGGGGTTATAATTTCATTATCATCCATTAAAAAAAAATTGCTCTACCAAAAAATTCCTATAAATTTTTTGGTGTGAATGTGTTGTAGCAACTGCGATGGTGTGATTTTGCCGCGCGTTGGAGCCGACATCAAGGGACGAGAGCAGGAGTTCTGTCCAAGATGCGAGTGTAAATATGAAAACAGAAATACTACTATCATCAAGGTAACATAACACATTAGGAGTCTTTGCTCAACACTTGTTTGCATGGGTGCTTCTGTTTCTATTTGAAATTTTACTTGTCCTTGAAAATTATCAAGCATAGCAGCAAGATGAACTATGACAAGAAGTGACTAAGATTTACTTAGTTTTCAAGAAAGGCAACATATGAGTGGACGTCAGTATGTGTTGCTTGGTGTTGTTTGGAGTTGGCTGTAGTTACTACTGCATCATAAGGACCGTCACTTTATTTATTGTTTCAAGTCATATAAAAAATTTGTAAAGGAAAATTCTACTCTGTAGCAGTCATTAAGCCTAATCGTTATGGATTATCCATAGTGGAATTCTTACACATTTTGAGGAATCAAACACCAAGAGCCATTGATCTGCATTGATTTTATTTTTTATACAACTTAGAATGGCAAACAAGCTGACGGCCCACCTGATGGAAAGTGAAATTGATCCTTAGAAGCAACAAATTATTTGTGTCATGGGAAATAGGAGAATATTATTTATTTATTTAATAAGCCTTTAATTACTTATCAATAATTAAAGGCTAGTAAATTGTACTGTTTGTAATTATACTATCATACAATTTCACATAAGTACTACATTCACAAATGTCAACAAATTGATAAATTCCTTAACATTATTTGGTTCACGCACAATATATTATTATATGTATGAGATTCAACTATTATTGCTATGATAATATAATCTAATAGTAGAATATAAAATACCTTGCAATAAAATGTATTAGCTATCCGCTGCGGAAAATACACGGCCAGGAATCTAAGACAGAATGCCAGCCTCTAGAATGTAAAGCATCTATGTTTTACATCTATTTAAGGCCTTGTGATCTTGATTTCAAACTTTTAGTTTCAAGATTTTAAGAATGATTAAAACTTATAATTTTCTCTTTCAGGTTGTGGTGATAATAGTGATATGGGTGATAATGCTGTTGGTGGTGTACATGGGCTTCCTGATCTGTTTGGATCCACTCATCAACAAGAGAGCTAAAGCGTCTTACCAGGAACATACTAATGAAGATGTAAGTAATTTCTAGCCTATCCTCTAGACCTTACAAACGAAATTGTCGATAGAATTGTTTCGGGTAGCATTTTTTTTTATGGATAATAATGGAATGGTAATTCCACCCGCGCTATTAGTATACACCGGCGGGGCACCAGTGAAAGATGATAGATGAGGATGAAGTAAGTCAGTTAGCCCATTGTGACAAATTCAACAAAAATTGTTCACAATGGTTTCCAGGGGGATCCATATGGAGGTCGACCACATACAAAATTGGCAACATTAGGTGTTCATCTCTTAATTAACTTTTTAATCGTTTGATTTTATAGTAAGTACATGACACTAGTTGATTCAAATCAGCAACTTTATATTGTATTTGTTTTTTTATTTTTTTAATATAAATACTTTTCACTGTCAAAAAGCAGATAGTTTAATTAGGAACTTTAGAAATAGCCTGTATTTATATATAAATATTTACAAAAAAACGTATTAAATTTACTTTCTTTAAAATTTTATAATTGTTTGAAATAGTTTGATACCTGGCGGCCTACCATGAAATGAAATTCCGAAATTTCGGACTCAATTTCGTGTTTTCGTTCATACCTAAATCGAACCAGTAAATGGAGCTTAACATTTCGTTCGTCATAAATTCTGCCATAAAAGTCCAAAGGAATAATATTTTCATATTTTTGATGTTTTTAAACGGTAAGTATTAAGTAATTTTAACATCAAATATATGTTTCGTTCGGCATCGAAATTTCGGAAAACGTTTCATGGTAGGCCCTCTGGTAGTGAAGATCTCCTCCAAATTATCCTAATAGAGAAAATGGGGACAAAAAGAACTTTAATTAACAAGGAAGTCATGCCAATGCTATGCCAAGCACTCGAATGTACTTTATGGTATTTGAATGCAGGATGAAAGTACAGTGGGAGGACCATCGCAGCCTATGGGAGCCCGCGGCAACGTGCTGAACCGTGTCACTCATCAACAAGACAAGTGGAAGCGTCAAGTGCGAGAGCAACGCCGCAATATATACGACAGGCATACTATGCTCAACTAGCTGGCTTTGGTACCATTCGAATAACTGATATACCAATTTCAGACTTATTTTTTATTCCCTTTTCCTTTTAAAAAAAAGCAAATATCGTAGATTTTAAAAATTGACAATTATTAAGGCAAAGGATATTCTGTAAATTATGAAATCTTTATTTATTATAAACCAAGGCCGCTTCCTTTATTTCTCTATTGTAATTAATCAAAACAATGCACGGTTCATTGTTTTACAGCAGAAATAGTTAGTACTCAGGCAATTAAAAGTACCACAAATAGCTTAGAACATAAAGCAACATTCTCTATTTTTTAAATTTTTATTTGATATTACAGCGAGATGATTACTCTAAGAATCAGCTAGATCCAAATTTATTATAGATATTATCATCATTTCAGTTAATCAGTTGATGTGATCAACCGTGAATTATCTGCTGCTTAACATAGGCCTCCCCCATAAAGTGGGTTTTGCCAATAGTTGCCACGCTAGGCAGGTGGATTGGTAGTTAGGCTTTTGGTGATATTCTAAGAAGGACAATTTGCCCATCCTTGGACTAATAAGTATTATTATAGATATGTGGCGAAATGATTTTAAATTCTAGATGGCCAGTGTCTCACTAAATTTTTTTTTTAATTTTGAATTTAGAGAATGGATCTATAGAATCGAACCTCATACTATATCCATATTGTTAAAACATCTGCTAATTAGAGGCACCCCAAGCCATGAGTATTTAATAACATTGTTTATAATTATATATTTTTAGATTAGAAATGAACTAGTAATCTAGTATGTAAATATTAATGGCAACATTTGTAGAGCTGCTACCTAATTTGTATTTTAATAAATAAATAAAATTAAAATAATGTATAAAATGTCTAAAACTTGATTAATTCTTATATTTATTTAATCTGTATTTATGTTCTATGTAATATAGCTTTGTCACATTTATGGCATGTTCAATTTTATAATTAATTTTGAAAATTTGTAAAGATTAACTTTACTGTTTACCTGATAGCAGAAGAAAGTAGCATTATGTTTTAGCAATGTATTTATTATATGTGTTAAAATGTAAGTAAATTTTTTTTGTATATAAAGGTTTTTTATTATATTTACTCAACAAATCCAATTCAGAACTAAAAGAGATGATATACGAAGATCAAAATTCAATTTACGTTCGAAACACAAAGAAGCACAAACAAAACAAATTAATACATTTTTTTTTTGTATTTAATATAAAAATCTCAAAAATAGGAAGTCACAGAAAATAGTTTCATAATGTACATTGACACAAGCCTAAAAAGTTAGGCTGGCGTGGTTTTTGCTGAATTGTTTTTAAATTTCAAAAATATGAAGATTTTTTTAATTTTTTTTTGCATTATATAATATGGAATATCTGAATAAATACTTAATCACAGAATAATGTGTTTAAAATATGTGTTGTAAATTATTTTATTTAATAAATAATTTATTTATAATATGTACATATTTTTATGAGTTTTACAGATTTACCAATGCACTCATCAGAAACCAGAAATAAAACATTATAATAAGACAATAATGGAAATAATAATGTTAATAATGAAAATTCTAATTATACTTTAAAAAAAATATACATTAAAAATTATAATAATTATGTAGATTTTGAATCCTTTTACTAGAACATAACACCGTTATTTTTTATCACTGGGATAGGCAGAAACCATAGAACTCACCACTTGCTTCTATACGAACATTGCTTCTCCCTTTATCGATATAAACATTGCATATTTTGAGACGTTATATTCTGTGACATGAACGTTTTCAGCCTCATGTGTTATTTTAAGACTTGTATGTTTTGAGCGTAAGAGTAAACCTTCATCTAAATGCTGCAAAGTAATTCCTAGCCATCAGTTGGGAATTATTTAGCAACAGTATAGGGATTTTTTTTCCGGTTTTTGTGTTTCCAAATAATTTCAACATGGGCTCTTTCAAGGCTACATTGAATATGCATTATTTGAATTTGTGCATAACACTTCAGATCACATCGTCGCTAAGTTTTTTTTATGCAACTTAAAATGGCATACAAACTGATAGCCCACCTGACGGAAAGTGGTGACCGTCGCCTATAGACGTGAACAGTACCATGGACATAACAGAGTATACTGTTTCGCTCATGATACCCCCCATGTGTTACCATTCCTGAGGACTCAGGTGTTATTTCTCTGTACCCTGTAAATTCGCTGCCATATCTCATCTTGCAAAATGAAATATAGCCATGCAAACACAACTGCTTCAAGGTAGAAACACGAATGGGACAGAGATGTTCAAGAAAATGACTATAGTACAGCCTCCCTCTAGTTAAAGTAGAGATTGCAATCTGATAACATTCTCCATCCGGCTAGCCGGTCGGATTGAAATTCATGATAATTTCCCCTTTTTGCTCAATTTATTAGATAATCGAACAAGTGTATTATATAGGTAATTTATAAAAATATAAATAAACTAGCGATCTACACGGGCTTCGCTCGAGTAGATAGAATTTTTGGAAATAATTACAGCCTTTGTTACTCGTACAAGGGTTTGGTTTATTAAAATAATACGCGCATTGTTATTTCTAAGGGTCTATTGGAGTGATGAAAATATGCCAGTTAACAAAATTATTAATCAACTAAAAGCTTTTTTTTTTACAGGAACCCCTTACACAGCAATTACGGAAGGCAGACAATATCATTGTTGCCAAATTATTTTTCCACAGTTATCCAAAATCACTTTAGTTGCCATATGTAATTTAAAGTTATAACATCTATTTAAAGGATTAACTTCAACAACTCGCTGATGATTTTATTTCTAATTTTATCCATTACAAATAAATTATAAAATCTTTCCTCTTTATAACATTAGTATGGGTTATACGTAATCAATATACATTCAACTTCTCTCATTAAATATTCAATAGTTCTGATAGGTTCTGACACTGTAATGCTTTTTTTTGCAATTGCTATTTACTGCTATTTCGTAGAAATTGTATCGTGAAACGGAACATAAATTCAAAGTTTATATTAAATTATTGCACCACCTAAGTTATCAGTCAGAAGTTGAACGTGCATTTCTATCGTTTACTCTGACCGGCTGTAATGGAATAGACGATAGAAATGCACTTGTCTAGAAGGGTTTTTTTTTTTGTGAGATGATAATGAAATGGCTACACCCGTATACCACCGGTATAGCGTATACAGGGGCATCAGTGAGGGATGATAGGTGAGAATGAAAGTAGGTCAGTTAGTCCATCGTGACAAATTCCACAAGAATTAACCACGATGGTTTCCAGGCGAAAGCATTATAGGGTATATTGCTAGTAATGGAGCTGGTAAATTAACAATCACTTTCCCCCTATATAGAAGGGTAGGTGTGCATATGTCTTAAACATGTAATATTTAAATGTAAATGTAAATTTTCTGTTTGTGACTGCTAAAGATCATTATATTATTTACAATTACAATATTTTTGGTTATACTTTGACTAACAATATTAAATAAAATAAAACACACATTTGATATTTGTTTTTATTTTTTTACCACAGAGAGACTTTGTAACTATAGAAACATTTCAGCAACTTAAACTAAAATATATAATTATAACTGAAATAAAAATTAATAATGAACTTAAGTTTATATAAAATTAAATAATAAAAACTAATCCAGATAGAGCAATCAAATATTTTTATTAAGTCCGGCGGCTACTAAAGGGATTTCTATATTTTTCATTCCTTTAGAAAAAATTTTTAATAATTTATTTTGCCCTATGTATAATCATAAAAACTACTAATACTTTATACATTTTTTTTCTATATATATAAACATTTATAGCATATAATAGCGCTTAATCTTAGTACAAAAGATATACTTTTACAACAAAAACAAAACACAAGGATCTACTGAACTTCCGTAAACTTAAATAATAAAAAAGTAAAACAATAACAAAAGGGCATTCTAATATTGTTTCAATGTAGCATATAGTGCTTAAACTTACTACAAAACCTGTACCTTTACAACAAAAAAACAAAACCTAAGAGTCTATTGAACTTCCATAAATTAAAATAATAAAAAAGTAAAAAAAATAAAAAAGGGCATTCTAATATTGTTTTAATGTAGCATACAGTGCTTAAACTTACTACAAAACCTGTACCTTTACAACAAAAAACAAAACCTAAGGGTCTATTGAACTTCCATAAATTATAATAATAAAAAAGTAAAAAAATAAAAAAGGGCATTCTAATATTGTTTCAATGTAGCATATAGTGCTTAAACTTACTACAAAACCTGTACCTTTACAACAAAAACAAAACCTAAGAGTCTATTGAACTTCCATAAATTAAAATAATAAAAAAGTAAAACAAAAACAAAAGGGCATTCTAATATTGCTTCAATGTAGCATATAGTGCTTAAACTTACTACAAAACCTGTACCTTTACAACAAAAAACAAAACCTAAGGGTCTATTGAACTTCCATAAATTAAAATAATAAAAAAGTAAAATAATAAAAAAGGGCATTCTAATATTGTTTCAATGTAGCATATAGTGCTTAAACTTACTACAAAACCTGTACCTTTACAACAAAAACAAAACCTAAGAGTCTATTGAACTTCCATAAATTAAAATAATAAAAAAGTAAAAAAATAAAAAAGGGCATTCTAATATTGTTTCAATGTAGCATATAGTGCTTAAACTTACTACAAAACCTGTACCTTTACAACAAAAAAACAAAACCTAAGAGTCTATTGAACTTCCATAAATTAAAATAATAAAAAAGTAAAAAAAATAAAAAAGGGCATTCTAATATTGTTTTAATGTAGCATACAGTGCTTAAACTTACTACAAAACCTGTACCTTTACAACAAAAAACAAAACCTAAGGGTCTATTGAACTTCCATAAATTATAATAATAAAAAAGTAAAAAAAAAAAAAGGGCATTCTAATATTGTTTCAATGTAGCATATAGTGCTTAAACTTACTACAAAACCTGTACCTTTACAACAAAAACAAAACCTAAGAGTCTATTGAACTTCCATAAATTAAAATAATAAAAAAGTAAAACAAAAACAAAAGGGCATTCTAATATTGCTTCAATGTAGCATATAGTGCTTAAACTTACTACAAAACCTGTACCTTTACAACAAAAAACAAAACCTAAGGGTCTATTGAACTTCCATAAATTAAAATAATAAAAAAGTAAAATAATAAAAAAGGGCATTCTAATATTGTTTCAATGTAGCATATAGTGCTTAAACTTACTACAAAACCTGTACCTTTACAACAAAAAACAAAACCTAAGGGTCTATTGAACTTCCATAAATTAAAATAATAAAAAAGTAAAAAAATAATAATGGGCATTCTAATATTGTTTCAATATAGCATATAGTGCTTAAACTTACTACAAAACCTGTACCTTTACAACAAAAACAATAATTAAGGATGTATTCCACTTCTATAAACTTAAATAATAAAAAAAAGTCGAAAATTAACAATAGAGTAATCCAATATTGTATAATGTAACATATGGTGCTTAATCTTACTACGAAAACTATACCTTTACAACAAAAAACAAAACCTCAACCTATTGATCTTCCAAAAACTAAAAATAATAAAAAAGTAAAACAAAAACAAAAGGGCATTCTAATATTGCTTCAATGTAGCATATAGAGCTCAATCTTACTACAAAACCTGTACTTTTACAAATAAAAAAAAAATTAAGAGTGTATTTTACTTCTATAAACTTAAATATTAAAAAATAGTCCAGATAGATCAATCTAACATTATTAGTCCAGCAGCTAGTATAGGGATTTCTATATCATGTACAAAAGATATAATTCTAAAATTAATTAGACAAAAGGAGCATCTTTGGATATAAAAAATAATCATTCTCACGACTACATTTCTTAGTACAGTAGTCAGAGATGTAGATATAACTTATGTATAAATTAGATACTTATATCTATCTATATATCTATGTTACTAGAAAAGTAAACTGGTACATTCTCACTATAGACCTTATACGATTAATAAATAATAAAATGTTTAAAAAGTATCGACAAGACGCCGTTAGGAATATGTGGAGAAACTATTGCGTGTAAAAGACAATCATCATCTTTATGAGTCTCCTACATCATTTTTCATAAAAACTAAAACATATTTACACCCATATATATAAAAACGAAAACATGTATATTTGTGTATTTAGTGTTATCTGTAAAGAACACATAAACAAAGCGCGTCTTCCCCTTAATAGAGACAATAAGAAAATAGTGTTGGCCACATTCTTAGTATTACTCTATATCAGTTTAACTTAACATAAAATCGCTTATCAGTCTATAGGAAAAGGGTACATTTTATGACCTCAGGGATATTTATTTATTCATAAAACCTTTAAACTTTTTAGAAACATATTCTAGCTATTGAAATGTCGTCTCTTTCTTTTGTGCCAAATTCTCAATATGACAAAAAGTGAAAAACATTCTAATACTAAATACGGATCAATAAGGTTTTAGTTTTTATGAATAAGGGGTTTATTTTTTATGAATACAGTGATTTCAACTTAAAAAAAGGAAGCTCTCAATTTCGTTATATTTTTCTTTGCGTCTGTTAGCCCGTAACTACGTCATTTATAAGCTGGTCCGGAAAATTACTCGAGTTTTTTTATCTGAAATAATATACTATCTACACGCATGTATAATGAGAACTTTATAAACTTACTGTGTTTGCCTTTTCCAATTGTTTTGACTGCGAGCTGCTGCTTGCAAAACCCGCGAAGACGTCGGTGTGGGCAGAGATAGTGGATAGTTGTTGATAGCGGAGACGTCTTCAAAGGCTTTGCGAACTGCAGCCCGCAGTGCGAGGTGAGAAACTGTGACGCAAAGCGTCGTACGCCCTCTGAAGATTTCCGGATGAAGTTGAAATATTTGTTGAAAATTACAACTAACTTTATAAAATCCCCATTGTGCATGTACGTAGACTTTTAATTTGGTCTTATAAAAAAATTGTTAAAATTGGATCAGTAGTTAAAAAAAATACCGACTAGTGTCTGCGATTGTGGCAAAATTTTTTGATTTTATCCAAAAACTAAACTACTAAGTCGATTTTGATGAAATTTCTAAGGTTTATAACTGACGGAGTCATGAGGTAACGAACAAAACATACAACCCAATTGAGAACCCCTTCTTTTGGAAGTTGATTAAATTGAATGTGATTTAATATTATGTCACATTCTTTCTGATTGGGAATTTAACGCAAAATATAATGACATAACAGCAATAGTTTAAATAAGTTTGACGTTTTTGGAAATAAGGAGGATAATGTTTAAAGTAATGTACTGCAAAAAAGTAAGGAATAATAAATTTTTACATCCATACATTATACGAACTAAAATTATGGATGAATTGGAAATGCACTCCATCTTAGAGTTGGTAAAACCTAACAATTCCGTCAACTTCATTCTTCAGCTATTAAGAGGATATTGTGCTGTTTACAGCATGGGTTTTTACCGTGTACAGCACCAGGTGGGGCGTTGCTATTCTTGTATAAAAAGAACCCTTTTCCTTTCGAGTCTCCATACTAACACAGCGAGTTCAACTGTTGAGTTAGTACGAGAGTCACTATTTTTGTATTGAAGTTTTAAATCACGAAATATCTGTCCCATATTCCATAACTTGAGTAGATGTTCAGTTTAACGATTTCCATTTCATCTTATATGTGTTAATGAGAAGTAATCAGTAAATAAGTTAATGTATTTAGCACAAATACTCACAGCTTAACGTGAACAAGGCTAATCACAACCATAGGTGTATCAGTATCAAAGTCTTGTTTCGCTTAACTAGAATTATTTTTGAGTATTCAGTACTTCAATATTAACTAATACATATATAAACACTTATAATATCTAAAACAATTTTATATATATTAGAAAAAGGCAACAATACAAAATATAACCTCTGAAGCACATCGGTGAAGAGTGCATCTCTAACTAATGCTAATAATTTTCAATCCCATATTGGTGCGCAGTACAACGTATCAACTCGTGAAGAGGAAATCTCTCCTTGACTATCTTGAATATATATATACAAAAATATTTCTTTAATCTTCTGCACCGTCACTATTAATTAGTAACTTGCATGTCTGTAAAAATAAAAGAGAAATATTTGTTACAACTATGAAGCTTTGTTAATTTATTTTATATGTCAATATATAATTTATTGATTTTATTAACATATGGTAAACAAGGGATGCAGTCCAATTGGCTATTCTAATAATATTTAGTATAGCAAACACCCATTACAGTCCGCCCGATGGAAAGTGGTAACAGTTGCCTGAAAATATGAATAGCATTACAGATAGTATACCGTGATGCCTGTGGGGTTATACTCCATAGTCATTGTCGATTCCGTTGGTAATGATAGCTAAAAAAATGTAAATTAACGAAGTTTTTTTTGTATGTTGTTATTAAAATATTTTTAAGTTATGTCACATCTAATCACTTTTTAGTTAACTTTTGCACTTATTTTCTTTTGCAAACACTGAAATTATTAATGTACTGTTTTTCAAACTGTTTTTTGTGTATATTATACTAATTGCAGTTTTAATTAATTAAAACACTACTGCACTTTGAATATGTTATTTTATATTCGTTCTATTTTACATTGCCAATCTATACACTTTATAATCTCTAAGGTCTTGACACTGGTTCCCAATGTAAATTAAGTATAACAAAAAATATCTCACCTCATCTGAAAGAACTGAGTGTTCCTTATAGTACTTGGCTTTCCCTTTTTTTATAAATGGGTCCAGGCATTTCAAAAACACCATATAGACCGTCAGAAGCACTTGTATCCATACCACAATTATTACAACAACCTGTAAAATTTGTACTTAAATTATTATTTTATTTTCTTATAAATATTCTAAATAATAAAAGTATTCTCATTCATCAGACTAAAATTATATCTTGACAAAAATACACAAGTAAAGGCAAATAGACAAAAAAGGCGATGGGTTTTCTTTTAATGGGTTAAAAATTTAATGGTGAGCCCCTAGTCAGTTGGCCCATCATAACAAATCAATAAAACCACAAAGGAGGAACCATTTTCCCCTGGTGATGGGCTGTTTTTATAAATTATGATGGAATGGTAACCCTGACTGTGCTATCAGTATACAGTTAGTAGTTTATTACCTCTTGACATGTTCATGTCTCAATTAATCATGATTCAATTTGGAACACAACTATACTACTTGGATAGAGAGGAGCATAGGCTACATTATATTCCAGTCTATCAATCCTGATCACGTGGAGTCACATGTCAAAACTAATAGGTTCATAATTAGCGAAGATATTAAATAAGACACACATGCAATAAAATTTCTAACTTATTTTTGAAACTCCTTAAAGCTACCCACTTCTTGTATATATATAATTTGACGGGAAATTTTATAACTTTACTGTGTTTGTCGTTTTCAACAATTGTTTCGACTTCAACCACAGTCTTCTTCAAGTAAACACAGAAAGTTGATAAAATATCTCTTTATACATCGTCAGACATTGTTACGAAATGAACAAAAGTTTTAAATAGACCCTTTTTTATAAAAAAAAAAATTGTAGAACTTTCTACAGACCTATTTTAACTAAATCTAATGAGAATAGACACTTTCTTCCAAAAAGAATCTGGCACAAAAGAAAAAACTACTCACTAAATAGCTTTAGCGTTTCTTTTAAAAAACTTTGTACTTACCATAATGATTGTGGTATTCCTAGTTTCGTATTTGCACTCGCAACGGGGGCAGAACTCCTGTTCGTGGCCTTTCACGTCGTCTCCGACTCTCGGTAGGATGACTCCATCACAATTACTAAAATTATAACATAATTCAAAATATAATATTAATTAAAATCTACAAAATAAAAAAAGAGAAAATTAAAAATGCCAGCTCAGTTCAACTTCCCACCAAAAATTCATTGAATGTGTCTGACAGTCAGTGTTGCCAATATCCAATAGTTAAAAGTTATACGAGTCTAGGCATGACACATTTCTTTCATTATAATTTTTTGAATTTATTATTTCTATTCACAGTAATAAATGATAATATTTGATATTCGTTCGCAAAGACTCAACACTCGATATTATTTGATTCGGAATTTATAATTTAGGTTAAAAATCTATGTATTATATATATTTTAAAGACGAAAAAATATAAAAATAAATTTTACATCTTACCGCAAGAGTGTACTTAACCTCAAAATAAATATTTGGTCTTAAACCACAATAAGTAGGTATTTTGGAAGTCTATTCATATAATTGAGCAAAAACAATGTCTATTTACTTATATTTTGATGAAGCAGCAACAAAACACATTTATTGATTCGTATATGTCGAATAACAGCGACAATGGCCGCCAAAATACCATTTATAAAATTAGGCACTTTACTCAGGAAAAAGTATAATAATTTTGTCAAATATTGGCATCATTGGGATGCGGTACAGTGGTACCGGATCCATGAAGTAGTGATGGCAGAATTCAGACTTCCGGATTGCATTCCCTATTTACAATATTTTAGGATTACTTATGAATTCAATGTGAAATATTAATAAACCAATTAGTTATATAAACAAATTCAAATACTTTTATAACTGAGTATGCCAACATTACAATTTTCTGTGAATTTTCAAAAACAATTGATCATTTTATACCTTTCAATATTCATGCCTTTTTAGAAATAGAAATAGAAAATATTTATTCCCAGAAAAACACATACATAGTTACAACAGAAAACAAAGTGATATTATAGGTATATAAGAAGTATCTCATATTAGGCAAAAGGAACTCGATCAGCTGATATTGCGAGTATCCCAGCGCAATGTGTACAGTTGTAGAGTACTGGTTTTTTAGTCAGTCCCTCTCTTAACAAAATGTTCTAATTTTTAAATGACAAGACAATGCTACTTGCTGCACTAAAAAGTTATATTACAGCAAATACATGATTGAAAATTAGTCCTTCGCATTTGCAACAGCAGCATTTTGCAGGGTGCCAAATTGTTAATACTAGGCTTCAAGCAGTAATCTAATAGCCTGATGATTCCTCATTCAGAAGTGAAACACATGTGGCAAAATGTTCATGAACAAAAGTGCAATCAAAGATTGATGTATAATATCGAGGGTTGTGGAACTTTTGGTAGTAATAATGATCAATATAATGTAATGTAAATTGGATTCTATTCTCTGCGCTAAGGCTTATTTGGGCCATTCTGCATATGAGTCATGGCTAGTAAAGCCAGCCCAGTTCCGCCCAGAAGCACAAAAGCATTCTGGTATCTTCACAGACCTTACGGAGCGACTTCACTGTTCTGAGGATTTCTAAATGTTGAGGGACCACAACTTCACACATTCCAGGATTAGGTAAACAGCCATTTCTTCAGTGTCAAAACAGCTTGAACATAGAGGATGTCTGTGGCCTGTTTTTGTCCCTATCATTGTTTTAAAGTTTTCTCTATATAGATATAATATTTTGAGAGTAGTTGATTCAACATTAGCATGGCCAATTTTGATAGTAAGCGATCAGTAACCTATATTCATCTTTTATTTCATATGTCAGCTGATCTTTGACAAATCCATGTTTGAAAATGTGAAAACAGATAACAACAAGTGGATACAGACCTGCTAGTTACATTACAGAATCCCTTTCAGCTAGCTCGTCTGCAGCATTGTTACCATAAGATCCATTGTGCCCCCTTATCCACTGGAGGATAACTTGATTATTGGAAGATATTTTATTATGTGACATTCAATTACTAATTTGTTGTCTTATTGTTTCTTAATGCTTTTAGTACTGTCAGATAAGAATCTTATGCCACTGTCATTTATTCTAAGCTTATGTTCTGCTACAGCAGCCTCTGTTATTGCAACACATTCGCATTGGAATATTGAGCTGTGTTCGCCAAGCAGTATGTGTATGTTTATATTAAGGTCTAGGGAAGAGACTCATGGTGATCAAATTTCGAGTGTTAGCAGTCATACACATATTAATGGGAATTGAAGATAAAAAATGATATGGTAACCTCACCTGTGCTATCGATATATACTGGTGGGGTACAATGAGAGATAATAGAGGAGGATAAAAAAAAACAATGATTACCATTTACTTGGATGGACGTTGGCAATGAAGAGTTTTCTGCCTCTGTTCAAAGTCCTATTGAGTACGGCGGCCGGGCTGGGGCAGACACATCGACACCGTCTGTCCTCATATGATTGATTCTACCGAACAAATGTAGTAGTAACATTATATTACAAAATATAACAATTCATAAACATAATAACAATAAAAAAAAATCACTACATACCGAAACATAGGTAAAATGAAGTAACAAAATAAAAATTTTTAACATTTTGTTTACGCCACAATATTATCCGGAAAGGATTATTATAAATAAAATACCAATGATTAGTGATTTACTACAAATAAATGTCATGAAAGGTAATAACTACAGATAAAAAGTATATTCATTTTTACTTTAGTTTTGTTAAAAATCAGATGAAAGTGACGAGAAGTGGGCGATAAGGTTTTTTTGACAAAGACAGAAAAGTTTATTTTGTTATTTTTTTTTTAAATATGTTTTAGGGTTATATTTTTTGCCTTAATTTTATTCCAGTGTTGCCAAATAAAATTATCTTCTCTTCTCCAAAATTGGACTCTATATTGCCTACAGTAAACCAAAATTTTTTTATTGCAATAGAGCTTAAAATTGCTTAAATTTACCCTCCCCCACCTCACCTCAATACAACAATCACCGAAATAATACAAGTCTGTAAATAATTTAACATTGTGTTCCACAAAAAATCAACTTCAATAGTTTTAAAACTACTTATTTTGATTTCAAAACTAAACTACTAAATCCATTTTAATAAAATTGTAATCGAAGGAGCTAGCTCCGAAGAGCAAACTGAAAACAAATACTGTCTTGCTTTTTGTCTATTTTCCGTCCTGTAGTTTTATTTCATCGCACTCCTCTTTAGTTGCCGTTACATTTAAAGAATCAGTTTCGGTCTGTATTATCATTCTACGTCATCGTTGGCGTTATCGTCCCGGCCCTTCCCCACTTTCGAACGAAGTCCTTTATACATTGGTGCACTATGTCGCTGTCGTATGTTGTGTATAGTGCTAGTGGAAATAAGTCTACGTCGTTACTAGAGTTAAGAGTCAGCTCCGTAAAGCTGTTACGGAGCTGACTGACCCACCTCTTAACTCTCGGGGACAACGATCAACTTTCTGTTTCTAATTTTTTTATCACACTGATATTCATTCATACGATTCAAGTCGGGTTGTTAACCGTATACAGTCGAACCTGGATAAGTGGGTATTCAAGGGACAGCTATATCTTTTTATGGCGATTTCTCATTAATCCGTGTTTTTAGCTTACAAAGATATTGAAAAGGTCTGTCTCACTTATATATGTAAAGGTATACAATGCAGCCAGTATAGTGATAAATTCAAATTTATTGTAGGGTTTCAATTATTAGAATATTATGGTTTTAGACATACGTTTGTTTTATCCAATCTAACAGGCATTTATTGACGTCGGAAAACTCAGAAGGGCGGCACCTCTTGATATTTACGTGTTCTTTAAAGAAAATTTATTCAATCTCTAGATTTTATACATAAAATTATAAAATCTAGAGATTGAATAAATTTATTAAAAAGATTATAAATAAGTGGATTCGGCTAAGGCAAACTCACTTTGTATTTTATTTGCTGATTTCACAGACCTCACGTATTCACATTTTTAAGTTAATGATTTAAAGACAATTGATTTTTCGTTTCAATATTATGACTAAATACCCATACATCCTTCCTTCACAATGATTATTTATAAACTGCAGTAAGCTTGGCAAATAAGTTGGTATACACGCACATTTGGTTATTCGATATAACAATTAACGATATAACGATTCAATAGAATAAGGGTTCACGAAAATTAAGAATGAATCATAAAACGGTAAACGTTGAATGCACTTTACTGTCGCTTATAGAGGTACAAGCAGGTATTATACTTAGTTGTAGAGGTCCATAAGTGAAAAACAACTCTAACTTATACAAATTTTTGTTTCTTGCTTATCCAATTCTCACTTATCCAAGTTTGGTTGTATATATGTAGTATTGTACTAAATTTTCGCTCGCCGTCATGTATACTGTTGAATTAATATATAATCGATGAAAAACGTGAAAATACTGTATTTATGTTAAAAGAGACAAGAAGTACAAAAAATATACGTTTTATAAAAACGAATAGGTAACAAAAATACAATAATCTTTTTTAAATGTTTCCAAGAAACACTGTAATTTTTAAATTGACTATATTTTTATAGCTTATTATGAAAAATATAACAATTAGCTGAAATATATTAGCAACCTTAGCTTCAACTGGAACTTATTCATTATTATTGCGAAAAATTTAAGTCAGTTTCACGATCTTAACCATTATTTGGTAAAAAGTTGCAGTTATTTAGACTACTTTTTTTTTTTAATTTTCTCAGCTATTATATTTATGTATAAGCTAGATATGAATTGATTTCGATATGGTGTTATATACCTACAAACAGGTAAATTACCTATTTGTAATATTTAAATTATTTCGTTAATACCATAGACAATAATTTTATAGTCTGTACTGTTGTGAGAATTTTATACTAAAAATAAGAGATAGTCTATGATTTACGGCTGCTGACGGATCATGTTTTGAAGTGGGTAGAAATTGAATGTGTTATTTTTGTGATGAGTTTTCGTGTACTTTTTAAGGTAATTGAACATTTATATTATTAACTGTATCTTTTTATATTATCTAGATATTGCAAAGATTTAATTGGTAGTTATTTCTGTACCTCGCCCTTCCGACGACTGCCTAGGTGGCATTTTCAGGACGTCACAATTTTAGGTAAAATACCGTTTTTTATTATTCTTCGATAGATGAGCCTTTTAATCTATCTCGAAATGAAAAGCTAAGCCTTTTATTTTATAGCAAAAAATATAAAACGAACCGAACAGTCGACAAGTTGCGCACAAAATCTCTATATACGTACAGTGATACATCGAAAATGATCACTTCAACTTATAGTTGTCGCAGTAACGAACACTAATATAATCAAATAATTTATAATTATATATTTATTGTAGTAAAATAAAAAATAAAAATTATAAATACATATATAAATACGGTGAAGCCACACAGTCCCAATTGCACCTGTAAATTTTGGTTATTGAGCTAATTTGAAATAAAATTAATTCGGCTAACGCGATAATGTTAGGCTATATCTATATGTATTATGAAAAGCGACATTAGGAGTGCCATCTTCAAAGCTTAATTTTAATTATAACACAATTAGACATATCTGTCTTCTACCATCCATCACTTAGCATAATTGTTTTTATCTAGGTACCATTTTAAACAATAGATGGTCATTTTTAGCAATTATTTGATAACAGTATTCCAAGATTAGCATAGCTGATAAATTTTTAATTATTAATGAATAACATGTTAATTTAACAAGTAGATAAAAATCTTTATATCTAATCAAATGATTTTGTACATAATTTTGTATTTGTATTCATTATATATTTGTTTAACTTATTATGTTTACACAAATGGATTAGACATATTTAATATCTAGTTTATATATGCATTATTTGTCCAATATTGAAATAATTAAAAGTAGAACTCAAATTTATTGATTATGCAGTTAGTAAATAATAGCTTCTAGACATATTCTTTGCAGTATCTCATTGCTCCACCTATGTTAGTATATAACCTACAAATTTTATTCAAATCCATTCCTTAGTTTTTGTATGAAAAAGTAATAAACATTAATCCATCTGTCTTTATAAACTTTCATATTTATAATATTAATAGGTTTAAAATTACACTATTGTGTGTGTGCTAATTAGTAATCCAATAATTTTTATTGTCAGCTGTTAATTTATATTTAAATGCCACCTACCACCAACATCTTCCGATATATGCAATTTAGTTTAGTTATCAATGATATATATATATATGTATATATATGTGTATATATGTATATATATATGTGTGTGTGTGTATATATATATATATATATATATATATATATATATATATATATATATATATATATATATATAATAGATTTATCACTGTTTATAATAATCTAGTCTATTTTAATATGTAGCATATTTGTTACAGGGTAGACAGAGGTAATCTTAAAATTTTATTATTAGAATTTTGAACAGCAGTAGGTTGTAGGCTATTAATAATATTTTTAATAATAATGATGTCTTTATGCTTTCTATTTTATATCCTTACATAGATAAAACAAAGTCGCTTTCTGTCGCCTGTACTCTTAGATCATTCAAATGCAACAGATTTTAATGCGGTTTGCGTCAATAGACAGAGTGATTCTAGAGAAAGGTTTACATATAATATTTGCAGGTTATAATAGAGAAAAGCTGTGAATGTCCATGTGTTGTCATAAAAAACATATTTTTGTGTGCTTACATTGTAAACACTGACTAAACGGTACAAGATAGATCAAAGTAATACACTACATAATTGCATATCTTAAAGAGATCTACAAAAAAGTCATAATGGTGTGAGTCTATGTCCTAAGGATAACCCACAATAACCATTTTTATCTTTTACATATGTAATATTACAAAATAATAATGGGTTATTTATGAAGCTATAAGAAACAATGTAGTATTATTCCTTATCTCCTTAAATACAGCAGATACATTGTGCATTTATTGTAAATCAAAATTGACCTTTACCATTAAAATGAATATCTTAGAAGATAACAGAGATTTAAAATGCGGGGGCAGAGTAGCTGTCCATTTATAGGTCAGTTCTAGATAGATTAATGGAAAAATCTGAAAATTTCGTCTCTTTTTTATGTCTAATGGCATTTTATGGCACTTTTTTGGCACTTTTTTGGAACCTATACTTTTTAGGGTAATTAGATGCTGCTGATTAAAATTTTTCCATCTCCTCCACCCCCTCCTTGCCCAGTTATTATCAGTAAACTTCAGTTTTTTAAATTTTCTACAGAAACTATCAGAGACAGTAGAAAACTATTAGAAAAAAATATAATATTCATTAAATTCTGTACAATATTTACATATGGATTATTTTACTAGGACTATAGACTATATACTGTCCAAAATATATTGGAATAGGATTATATGCATACTAGGAAGATTAATACAAAAAAATCATATTACTATTACAGAACATATAGCAATATTTCTTTGTAAATATTTTCCAATACTTTCATAGATTTCATAATAATAATATATATAGTATTAAGATTGTTTATAAAGTCTAAATAATAATGAATTTTGTGATGCCAATCTGATGCCAAATGTAATATTATCTCTTGTGTTGTCATTTCAGAGATTATCTTTCCATAATGTCCACTAAATTCATTGTCATAACTCATCCTGCCAGACATTTAATGTTATTAACAACTTATGGTGCCATATAATACCATGGTGCTAAAGGTAGACTTAATAGCAGTCTCTAGGAGATTGTCAAAGAAACTTTTATCTTTACCTTCATCATGCAGTTTTACTGACTGTGAATACATGTGGAGTTCTCCTTTTCACTTGTATGGTCACTAGGTCAGCTGAGTATTTTGTATGATTCATGCATTTGGTATAGTGACTTGGTTAGGACAGTGTCGAATTATATTTCTATGCTTTATTATTAAAAAAAAAAAAATTGTGAAATACAGAAATAAAAATTTGTTTCAGAATGCCAATCCAGGCGCCTCAATGGACGGACTACCTCAATTGTCCGGTGTGCTGTCGCGAGTTCGGTCCACCTCCCCGGAGCCCTATCAGCCTTGCTTGCGGCCACACTCTCTGTAGACACTGCCTCAAACATTTACATAGAAAACAATGTCCTTACGACCAGGTATGTAATTTTCGCTTCCTTTAAATATATTAATCTTGAGTAATACATGGGAGTAGTATAGATCACTGTATTCTCAGAAAGAGTATAGGTATCAGATGTTATCAATATATACAACAATTGTTATATATATAATATGTTAACAATATATACCTACCAGAGGGAGATTTTGTACAAAAGTCGATTGCTTGGGTACCTCTGTCCCATTCGTGTTTCAACCGTGAAACAGTTGTGTTTGCATGGCTGTGTTTGCATTTGAAGGGTGGGATATGGCGTGAATTTACTGGGTACAGAGGAATAACACCTGAGTTCTCAGGAATGGCAACGCATGGGGGGTATCATGGGCGAAACAGTATACTCTGTTATGTCCATGGTACTGCTCATGTCTATAGGCGACGGTTACCACTTTACATCAGGTGGGCCGTCAGCTTGTTTGCCATTCCAAGTTGTATAAAAAAAAAAAAAACCTATATATTGATAACATCTGCATGTAATGTAACAAATAATAATGTAATATACATATATTATAAGACCATATTCCTTCACCACATTGTTGCATTGGAAATGATCTAGTAAATGGGCACTGTTACATAAAAAATGTGGTATATCATGCCAACAATTGTTCCACTTCTATTACTCTGGTTATTATGAAACTATGATGGTGAATATTTGTTTATATTATTTATACTCATGACTGTGATAACGCAGTGCAGGATGGTGGGAAAGAGTTTTTATACTTTCCCAAAGGTTTGTACAGTAAAGTAAATTATCTATGGAATATTATAGATATTGGAATTAATTGGTAGTCTTTTATAAGAGATGGTATAGGCAATACCATATTCCGTTTTTAGGGTCCCATACGAAGCTGGTAGAAAAGAGCCCTTATGGTATGGTTACTTTGGCCATGCGTCCATTTATCTGTTTGTCTGTTTGTGCATCTGTCTGTTCTTCTGTAACAGCATTATATCTTAGCAACTACTAATGCTATCAATTTGAAATTTGGAATAGTTTTAAATATTATTGGCCCGCATATGTTGCAATCGAAATGATAGATTTATTTTCTTTTCTAGAGGGCTTAAAACGGATATACAAAATTTCAAAATTGACCTCTTAGTCTAAGTGGGGTATCATATGAAAGGGATTTATATGTACATTTTAAATCTTATTTTTATATATTTTTATGATGTGTAGTTTTTTTACTTATGATCGAAAATATAAAAAACAAATCCGAGCCCCTTCTTTCCACTTAGCTCCAAAATTTGTGAAGCAAAATATCTGACATTGTATAGTTTATAAAGGTATACGCTAATATTGGACGGATAATGGCTGAAATGACGATGACGATGATGTGAATATTACAGAAAAAAAACGATGTTTCTAACTAGCACTGTTTTAGAGAAATTATCAAAAAATCTCCAAAAAACAAAGTTATGCGTTCAGTTTTTAACCACAATTACAGGACAAAATAAGAAATCGCTAATTGTAGTATCACTAATAATAATTAACGCACGAGAAAAGCATTTAAGGTTTTTTTTTTATTATTTATTACATATTTTGTATTTATATATGGAACCTTCAGCGTGTGAGTTCAACTTGCACTTGACCAGTTTTATTACATAAATTCATTCGTGAAACGGCTATAATAAGACATTGTTTTCATTATGCATTTGTTTAAAGCGCGATCAAATATACTTTTAATTTTTTAAATTATGTCGAAATTTGTGCCGAATAAAGTGTTTCTGCAGGGAATTTTACTTAATTATTGTGTTATAAACAAAATTTTTGCTGATAGTCATCGTATTCTATCGGAAGTTTGCGGTGAGCATACTTTATTACGTACATAGTTAGCTGTGTAAACATGCTGGAAATGATTTGTGCAATTTCAAAGTGGTGGTTTTGACTTAGAAGACAAGGATAGCCGAAAAAGTATGAAGATTGGAGACATTGCTCGAAGAAGACTTTTGTGAAACGTTTCAAGAATTATTTCCATCATTGAATGTTGATTTATGAACACAAGGAAAACTCCTTAATACTTTGGGAATGATCCAAAAGGGCAGTCATTCTCACCACATGAATTAAAACCGACTGACCTTGACAGGCGTCTTTTGATCTGTGATCCCGTATAACAGGAGAAAAGGAATGGTTATTTGCATCGGATTGAATCGGCGATGAAAACTGGATCTAATATGTATTTACAGTTCTAAACATAGCCTGACAGAAGGTCATGGATTAAGTTCAGTTAATTATCAACCTCTTCCTTCTGGAATTATTAGTAATGTGGATTACCAGGCTCATTGCTTGCAGTATACCCTGTCAGGTCGACGTTCATCGTGGTCCCCCTTGGTAATCATCGTGATGAATTCCAGGTGTATTCATCACGATGGGCTAACTGATTTGCCTGGGGGGAAAGGGATTGTTAGCAATGGAGTTTGACAGCCCCATTGTTAGCAATATGCCCTATTAGGTCGACCTCCACGTGGTTCCCCCTGGAAATCATCGTGAACAATTCTTGTTGAATTCGTCACGATGGGCTAACTGACCTACTTCATCCTCACCTATCATCCTTCACTGGTGCCCCGCCGGTGTATACCGATAGCGTGGGTGGGGTTACCATTTCAATATCATACATTAAAAAAAAACTGATTTGCCTTTTCATTCTCACCTATCATCACTCATTGGTGCGCTAGTGTATACCGTTAGTGCAGGCGGGGTTCTTATCCATTAAACCTCAGTGGTGAATCAAAATATCAATAAGTGTAAGTTCCTGCTCTGTTTTTAGTGGAATCATACGGGTGTGTGACGCCTGACAAGCGTGACAACTGCAGCCAAATCTTCCCAACACTGGGAGGCCTAAGTTCAACAGTTAGTGGCTCATACGGCTCATGCTATGGGTGTGATTTACAATGAACAATTAAAACAGAATGAAACAATACCCGGGGAATGCTATCGACTATAATAGATGTGATTGAAGGAAAAACAATAATGCCTGTTTGCACGTCGCGAAGCCAGTGGAAACAGCCACTTAAATGGGAAATCCTATCCCACCCGCCGCATTCAGATGTTGTTCTTTTGGATTACAGTTTATTTCGCATTTTATTCATGTGTAGTAAAAACTGTTTTCTTAAAATAGAACAAAATTATTTCAGCGATAGTAAATTGTATCAATTAAAAATAAAACCGGTTAAGTGCGAATTCAGCTGACACCTCGAGCGTTCCGTATATAAATGTATATGACATAAAATGACCTTTAATGCATTTCAGATATCTTACAGTCATTATATTAGATATGACAACTCACAATTTTTTATTGTGAGTCGTAATTGTGGTTAAATACCGGACCGCCTAACTTTGTTTTTGTGGTTTTTTTTTGATAATTTATCAAAAACTGCTAGTTGGAAATATCGTTTTATTTGTGTTTTTTTTTTTTGTAATATTTGCATATACTTTTATAAAGTGAGATAATTTGAGATATTTCGCTTTGGAAATAAGGGGAAGGCGGCGAATATTTTTTCTCACATTTTCGATCATAAGTAAAAAAGTACACATTACAAACATAAATAAAAATCTGTTTTAAAATGTACTAATAAGTTCCTTTCATCTGATACCCAATTAGACTTTGAAATTTTGAGTATTCGTTGCGGTCCGTCTAGCAAAGAAAATAAAAATATTTTTTCAATTATTTTCATTGATTTACTCGTATAAGCAGGTCATATTATTCCAAATTTAAAATTGATAGCATTAGTATTGTTGAGATGTAATGCTGTGATAGACGGACGGATGGCCAAAGTCGCACTATTAGGGTTCCCTACGTTCCTCCTTTAGTACGGAACCCTGAAAATGAATCACTCTTATTTATTGAAAATAAATAAAAGTAAATGAAGTTTCCAATTAATTTTGGTTCTATTGTTTTACAGTAAGATTTGTTTTATTTGTTACAATGAAATATCCTTTTTTTTTCATTTAAATCTGTATTGTTTATTCTCTAATAATAAATAAACATTTTCTTGAATGTTGAATTATAGTGAATCCTTGCCAATAAATTAAGAATGCTATAATTGACCTAATACGTAGTTTTTAGGGTTCCTCTAAAAAAGGAACCCTTATAGGATCACTTCATTGTCCGTCTGTCCATCCGTCCGTTCGTCCGTTCGTTCGTTCGTTCGTTCGTTCGTTCGTTTTCCTTAGGAACGCGTAGAGGTTGAAATTAATATAAAGGAAAGAAACCCGAAAACCTTAAATCTGTAGTTATTTCACAAAAAAAAAATCTTGATGATTTTGTACGAAACGAGTTCGACTCGCACTTGATTGGTTTTTTTTATTCCAAGATTATAATTTGTATCCTAAAAAATCTATGTAATACTATTGTACTATGGGGTTAGATTTTTATTAAATAAACTTTCACATACGCTAGTATCCATTAGGTTAGACCTTTAGTATATCTAATTCAGGTATCGAATAAACAAATATTTATTTTCATGTAAATAAATGACAAAAATTCTTAACAATGTCTTATAGGTAGTGAATCTATAATTACAGCGACATTTAGTTTGATTGACACGACTTGTTATAATTGTGATAAAGGTTTTTAACTTTAAAACTTTTATTGTTTTGTAATAAAAATATTACATGCAATTCAATCAAATAAAAGAAGACTTGAACTTAATAAACTAGCTTCGAGATAAATATTAAACAGTTACTTTTGGTTTTAAGTATGTACATTTATGATATGTACTTACTTGATATTCTTATATCAAATAAGTGTTTTTTTTTTTTATTTGTATTTTATTTTTTTTTATCTCAAAGTCGTTTATCAAATGTGCGTTGATTTCTGGATTCTTTCTTCTGATTAAGAATGTTTTTTTCGGGCGTATTTCCGAAAATTATAGTTACCGGTGGCCAATATTTTGAGTAATTTATCTTTTTATTTGGATTGAAAAATACATATTCTTTTTTTTTATTACAAACTCGACGAATTAATTTCAACACCTGATATTATTATGGACATAATGATTGTCACGGAAATTAGGATTGTTATATATATATATATATATATATATATATATATATATATATATATATATATATATATGTATAATGAGAAATTTTAACTTACCGTGTTCGTGTTTGTCGTTTAAATTTGATTTACACGTATTCCCTATACTTCACTTTTGAAAACAAATATCTGTCAAATAACTTTGTGTTCACTAATGTTTTGGACAGACCTACTATATCCGTTATACACATAATGACTAGTCCTGTACGCGTCTCGTCTACCGTATAGGCGCCAAGATAACAAACAAACACATTTATATTAGTAAAGATAATTTAGAGTCAAACATGGACCCAAAGCATTGCCCAACGCGTGTTGATTGTAAACACTGCTATAGAATAAATGAAATATTCCAACAGACTGTGATCCAAATAGAATTGGAGGACTTGGTGGTGAACACGGCGCTGCTACAGCTGGCGGGCTACACGCCGCCCTCTCAGCCGTACCATCCGCCGTGCATACAGGCGTTGCCGGAAGTGGACCGGGAGGCGTACGATGTGATCGTACGCAGCATGGAGCACCTCGCCGTTTACCTCAAGTATTGCGGAAATGGTAAGCTGCTCTCTCTCTCTTTCTCCCTCTCTCTCTCTCCCTCTTTCTACCCCCTCTCTTTCTCGCCCCCCCCCTCTCTCTCTCTCTGTGTGTGTGTGTGTGTGTGTGTGTGTTTGTTTCTCTCTCCAGACCCTAATATCGTTGAGCATTTTTGGTTTTTTATTATTATTTTTAATTATTTAATTGTTTCCTGCAGGCTTGTACACGTTAATCATACATAATTCTTGGTCATTTTGAAAAATTACTAATATGAGAAGGCTATGTTAGCTTACTTGTATAGCTTTTACTTAATACTAAAATTGTTCGGGCAGTATACATAATGACTATCACCTATTAGCCAAAGTAATAAAAAGACATGTTTTATTAGTAAAATTTTATTTTATAAATTACAAATAAAAAAAAAAAGTAATTTTCTCATCTTATAAATGCTCTGACTTATTGTAAAATTAAAAACTAAGTAAACATAAACAATTTCAATAATCGGACTCATAGTTTGTACTTATTTGGAAGGGATTCTATATTTAGAATCCAGTAGTTCTTAGCAGTGACTAACAAGTAACTTAATAAAATCGAATAAAAATATCATATAATTATAAAACGGAATTGAACATAAGTATTTTTTTGTCCACTATTTTATGCGCGTGGATTTCAGCAGTAGGTAACACAATGAAAAGGATTTAAGTTAGACTTTCGGGTATACAATTGTGAAACTCACATCTAATTTGGTGCAGCAATTTTTGCGTGATGCTAGAATAAACATACAGACAAAATTGTTTTGACATCTATTGCTTTCTTTAAAATCACTCATATTGTTTTTTCTTAAACATATTCCCTATACAGAGATCAAGTACACGTATATATATATATATATATATATATATATATATATATATATATATATATATATATATATATATATATATATATATATATATATTGTATTATTAAGATACAAATCGCCGCTCTCATGATATGTTGAGTTATACAGTATTTATTTTCTTTAGAACTACAAAATTTATCAAATTTAGAGCCATTTTTACAACTATATTGATTACAACATCGCCGTCCACATTTAGACGACATACTAACGCGTCGCGTGTCAGTCGTTTGTGTCTCCCTGCATCCCATCTATTGTATCTGTATTATCAGATTGTCTAACGATCACGTTCATTCATAATGACGAGACGACGTGATAAAAAGTTTAAATAATAACAAATAATTAGATGTGTAGCGTAGCGTGTCATTATACATAATGCTCGGCCATTATAAATAGTGTCCCTATTGATCACTTGATCTGTAACATATAGAAAGAATACCGTGTCGTCGACAGCCACTAGTCGTTAAGTAATCTTAATTCGTCAGTAGAGAGTTGCGTAAATGATGCTTCGTCCCAATTTCCTTATCAACATTTTAAAACTAACTTGACACAGCTGTACCTTGGACATTACTGAGCACACATTAAGAGCGTTCATATTTTACCACGCCGAAATGTGGCAACGTCGCATTTATTTGTCAATATTTAAAAACAAATGTTTATTAATTAATTATTCTGTTCGATTCTATATACTTAATTTTTTTATTTATAAATCTGTTACTAAAATCTTGGCAATTTTTCAAATACATATTTGCCATCAAATCCTAATTTTTTTTCTATACAACTTAGAATGGCAAACAAGCTGACGGCCCACCTGATGAAAGTGGTAACCGTCGCCTATAAACATGAGCAGTACCATGGACATAACAGAGTATACTGTTTCGCCCATGATACCCCTCATGCGTTGCCATTTTTGAGGACTCAGGTGTTATTCCTCTGTACCCTGTAAATTCACGCCATATTCCCACCCTTCAGGCCGAAACACAGCCATACAAACACAGCTGCTTCAAATGATGTGCTTCAAATCTTCAACGACAGCTTAATAAGAATATTATTGCACAATTAACATTTTAGTTCGCTAGTAAAGCGTTCTTTTTTTAAATAATCAATCAAAAACATTGAATTTTAAAATTTGCCATACTTCGGTAAGCTGAAGTATTGACGCTTTTGAAATCGTAAAGTAAGATATTCCTTATTTGAAACTAACTTTCTTCTAGAAAAAAAAACAAATAAAATTATTCAAATATAGAGACCGTATGATAATAAAATGCACATTAATTTTTAAGTTAGATCTTTAGGGACACAATTATAAAAGCCGCATCCAGTTTCAGTGCAGTTGTTTTTGTATGATGCCGTTACAAACAGACAGACAAAAATCCTAAAGAATATTATTTTGGCTTCTATTGTGCTTATTAATTCTCATATAAATTTTTCTTAAATATATCAGACATCGTTAGTTATAATATTATTATATTAGTAACATTGTCGTCGTTTTTCATGTGCCGTTCAGTCAACAACGGTATGGGCAGCCGCCTCTCGCGCCCGATGCAGAGGAAGCTGGTGACATTGCTGCAGTGCGCGATGACAGACGAGGAGGGGCGAGAGAGAGCCGTTCGGGCGGCTCGCTCGCTCGGAGAGAGGACAGTCACAGAGCTCATACTCCAACATCAGGTGATGGTCACATATGTATTAAGGTGATGATGTGAACAAAGCTTCACAAAGTCACGTGTGAGAGATAATGATGCACAGGACTTTGGGTAAAAGGAGTGGGAGGAAGGGATGAGCACTCCTGGTTTTTCTTTCGAGCCATTTCTTTTTATACTTCTATTTTCTATACATGTATCATATGGTGTCCTGAGAATTAGGGAATGTTTGTTACTCTATACCAGGGAGTCCTAGAGTAAAAAGGGCACCAAGGTTCAGCGAAATTATTTATACAGTGAAACAATTTCATTCTTCACATTAAAAGTTTAAAGAAACTATAAATTTCTATACTTTTAAATAATAAAAGCTTTCGTTTTTATTTAAATTACAGTGTTTTTTTATTTGTAATCATTTCATATGGGGTTCCATAAAATAAAAGGTATTTGTTGAATGTTCTATTATTTTTAAAGTTTAGGAAACTGCTCTACACAAAACATTACATTATTTTTTTTTATTACCAGAATTCTCAGCAGCTAAGTGCCAATTTATGGGCGGCAGTCAGGGCACGCGGTTGTCAGTTCCTCGGCCCAGCAATGCAAGAAGAGGTACTTAAATTGGTATTACTTGCACTTGAAGATGGCTCAGCATTGTCAAGAAAGGTAAGCCTGTGAAGTAATCTTAATATATATAAATAAATATGCAATCTCACCTTGTTCGTGCATATTAATCTCTAAAACTACTAAACCGATTTTAATTAAATTTTGTGAATCTGTATTGTTTTTATTCTGATATGTAAAAATAGTTTTTTTTTGCAATAGAAGGCAAATCTATGTTTGGCGAGTCAGCTAATTATGCCATAGTTGAAACAAATTTGTTTATTAACGAAAACTTGACATTACAAGCTCAGTTTAATATTATATTTATTTTATTAATATTTATAGACAGTAAACGCTCTATATTAGCAACCTCTCTATAAGAAACACTCTTTATATTTTATTTATTCTTAAAATTAAGGCTTAATTTGTAAAAGAAACAAGTAAAAATATTTTCCAGACAGTAAGTATTTTTATACTCCTTTTTTCCTATAAATATCTTTTCCCAATAAGAGTTTTTTTTTTATTGAAATTTGTTCAAATGAGTTGCTTATATAGAGCATTCACTGTAATAAAATTGTAAGTTGATGGCGTCTGTACATGAGAGATATTTAGGAAAAAATAATATGCACAGTTTTAATAAGATTAATAGTTTCCAAAACAATATTATTAGAAGTTTTGTCTATCTATCTGTATGTTATACTCACCGTTGCTTCTCAATTTATATATTCAAATATTCTATATGTTCATAAAAATCTTGACTTATTTCCAAAAAACAGCAATATTCATAATATTAATACTAGATTTAAAGACAAACTTGCTGTCCCCAAGTATCGTTTAGAAAAAGTTAATAGGTCTTTTATGGGAATAGGTATAAAAATTTACAATAAGATACCAAAGGATATGTTGGAATTACCCTTAAATAAATTCAAAATATCTGTTAAATCATATTTACTGAGCAAAGCCTATTACTCACTAAACGATTACTTGAATGACGAGTGTGCATGGCAATAGTTGTTCATGCACTGAATTTTCATTTAATGTTAGACATAGACACCTATATAAATATACATTGTAAATAAACTGGCTTTAAAAAAAAAAAAAGTAATTCAATTGAGTTTCTTGCCAGTTCTTCTCAATTGGATCTATATACCGAACTGGACGGTAGGGAAAATATAAAATTATAATGTAAAAATTTGACGTTCATAAGCGGCTAAAATGTCCTACATGAATAAATGATTTTTGAATTTGAATTTGAATTTGAATTTGTTCCGGTATCACGCAAAAACTCCTTCATTGAATTATATGCGATTTTTACGATTAGATTCTTCAAGGTTCAACTTAAAAATTGGCGTATATTTCAACTTGATAAGCTATCTATAAGTAGCCTATTTTATTAGCTTTCCTATTTCTGAAATCCATGCGGATAAAGTAGCGGACAAAAAGCTATTATGGAATGTAAATACCAAGTATGCAATTACAAAAGGAATGGAGTATCATCAGCGGATAATGTGCACGGAATAATGTTGTTGTGATGTTTGATTCGTCGTTTATAAATTATGTTTAATTAAATATAAACTGTCTTATAATATACAAATAAATATACATTCATAGTGTACAAATATTTTTAATTAATGATAAAATATTATTTACAGGTGTTAGTGATGTTTGTCGTCCAAAGATTAGAGCCTCACTTCCCGCAGGCTTCCAAAACTAGCATAGGCCACGTCGTCCAGCTCCTATACAGGGCTTCTTGTTTTAAGGTCTGTATATAAATTATTTTTTATATATTCCTCATACAAATTATCTTTCCATTTTCAATTCATCAAAACAAAGGTCTTCCACCTTTGATGTTTGAGGTTTTTTTTTTCTGTGACGTATCACATAGTGTATTCGTCAAAGATAATATTGTAATGCATCATCGTTATGGTTTGTCTGTATTATCTATTTATTATTATTATTTGAAACTGTTATTGGATAATTTGTATAGGATAATATAATTTTGTACATTTGTTAATAATCATTTGTAATTTTTAATATTTTTTTTTATATTATATAATTAACATTAATTTATATAAAATTATGAAACATGCCCTGATAATAATATGTTTTACTATCGGAATAAGTCTCATAATTTTATTAGAAAGATAATTAAAAAAAAGTTTCATTAAAAAGAAGCGACTTCAGTCCTATTAAGTCGAAGTAAAAAACAATTACTAACAATCCCTTTCATATTTGCAGGTATCAAAACGCGAATGCGACTCATCACTAATGCAATTGAAGGAGGAGTTTCGCACGTACGAGTCGCTACGGCGGGAGCACGACGCCCAGATAGTCCAGATAGCGACGGAGGCCGGCCTCCGGATAGCGCCGGACCAGTGGAGTGCGCTACTATACGGCGATACGACGCACAAGAGTCACATGCAGAGTATCATTGACAAGTTGCAAACACCACAGTCGTTCGCACAATCGATCCAAGAGTTGTTCATAGCACTGCAGAGGACTGGTGACCCGGCACAATTAGGCACGATGAGCATACACCTCGATAGGCTCGCAAACATCGATCCTAGTCCAGGTAATTATTTATTTATTTATTTATTATTACAAAAATTCAGAATTACACAAAACATGTGCTGTTAGCATTCAGAAATCACGTAGGTTTGTATTAATGCTGAATTACATTGCGACTATTCCAATGTGTATTGACATAAAGCATTTTTTTCTTATTACTAGTTTACGCTTGATGTTGATGATGATCTAAGATGGAGAGCACTTAGCAAGGAAATAATTAGCCACTATCGACTTGAAGATTCTCAGTTTAATTACTACTGATTCGGCCCGATTTCGCGTGGATAGATAGAATTTTCGAAAAAAATATATAGTTTATGTTACCCGCTGATGTAGTTTTCTATAAGTGAAAGAATTTTTAAAATCGGTTGAATAGTTTATGAGTTTATTCATTACAAACAAATCTTTTCTTTTTATTATATTAGACTAATTATATAAAAAATCAGGGGTTTTAAGTATAAATAATGACAATGTGTATCCATTATGCAACTTTAGGACTTGATAGAATAGAAATTTGAATTTTATATCCGAAGAATATCATCGGAATTCTGCAGCAGTCTCAGCAGAGTCGAGAACCCATTGTCCGTACTATGTTTGAACCTGTGGATTTTATGTTTTTATTCAATTTTTCTTTAATTATATATGGCCAATAAATATGTTATGTAACCCATTTATTAGCTTCGAGACGATTTAAAAAAATCTTATAATGGAAATTTAAACATTCACACATGTCTACGACTTTAGTATTTATTTTTTTTAGCTGTAAGACTCTTTTAACAGCTGGTAGGTATCAATGGAAAAATAAAATATACTGTGCCAACTCTAAAAAATGTGCTAAAGACAGAGATAACATGATTTAGATAGTTATATCACAAACACTATGTAACATTCCCAAGGCATCCTGTAGCATTGTGGGCATTTAATTACCATAGCATATATGTAGTGGCAACCCACAGCTATAAATAGAGTGATAAACAATATAATTTCCTTTATTTATATGAAATTGGTTAAACTTGTTGTTTCATTTATTTATTATAATTTTAGATAAATTTGTACCCATGTTCAGATAAATAAACGAATTGAATTGAATTGTTAACCAAATAAAAATATATTGTTTGGCGGAGTAAAAAGTGACCCATGAGTTTCTCATATATTTTATGTCTTTTGTGATCATTAATTTTTTTTAAACTTATGTTCCTTTTATAACGATTGCTATATATGTGTATAACGGGAATTTTATGAACTAGCTGTGTTTGTCATTTCCAGCAATTGTTTCGACTTCTTCCGGAAGTCTTGGTCACTTGGTACGAGATGAGACGCTGTGTCGGAAACGACAAACACATTGATGTAGATATTGATGAATCAGCTAATTAGTGAATAATTAACAAAAAAAGTTACGTTATATAACTATAGTTTGCAAAAACAACTGTGAATATAGCCTCAGATATGGTGACGTAGTAGTGTAACATAATCCTAAAAAATTAAACAATTCAAGAACCTCTTTTATAAATATTTTAGGAAATTTTCTCAGGAAATGAATGCCCTTTAGAATAGTATACAAATTTTAATATTGTAACTAAACAGTTAATAATTTTCTTTATTACAGATGCGAAAAGCCCATCGTGGAGACAGTTGGCGGACGTGATGGCTTCACTGAAGGAGGTGGTCTCCAGGTTAATACATTACCTGCAGCACCAGGCCAGTAATCGCGACGCCAACCACAATCCAAAGTATGCCCCACAAGAACGCTGCATCGAGCCTTCCACGAGTAAGTTGATATATGTTACTTTTTTTTTATACAACTTAAAATAGCAAACAATTTGACGGCCCATCTGATGGAAAGTGGTAATCGTCGTCTATAGACATGAGCAGTACCATGGACATATTGTTTCCCCCATGCGTTGCCATTCCTGAGGACTCAGATGTTATTCCTCTGTACCCTGTAAATTCAAGCCATGTCCCACCCTTCAAACCGAAAAACAGCCATGCAAACACAACTGCTTTACGGTTGAAACACGAATGGGACAGAGGTACTCAAGCAAACGACTTTTGTACAAAGTCTTTTTCTGGTACTTAAACCTTTTTCTTCTAAATTTATGTTCATAACAAATAATTTTACATTGCTAAATATTTGTACACACTTTGGCGGAACGAATAGGTTAATTCATAAAGGAATCTTATATATTAAAAAGCTAAGATTGTATTTTAAAAATTCTTTACACATTTGGTAGCTCATTGAAGGTTTAGGCTATACAATAGTACAGTATATAGTTTTTTACCCAAAAGCGCATGGTTTTCTATCTCTCTCTTTTTTTTATTCAACTCAGAATGGCAAACTATCTGATCTGACGACCCACTTGATGGAAAGTTGTAACCGTCGCCTATAAGCACAAATAGTGCCATGGACATAACAGCGTATTCTGTGTCGGTCATGATGCGTTGCTATTTCATGCGTTGCTATTTCTAAGGACTAAGGTGTTATGCGTTATATTAATTGCCTACCTGTATGTATAAACCGCCATAGGGGGAGGTCTGTGTTCAGCAGTGGGCAGTTACCGGCTGAGATGATGATGATGATGATGTATACCTATATGATTTATATATATATATAAATTTTATTAATTAATTAAATCTTGATTTTTACTATTTCTATTTTTAATCATTGATTTTTATAGTGAAAAGTATAATTGGTTTTCTTACTGTATAATAAAATAAATAATGGTTCTCTTTTGTTTGTTCAATCATATTAGGCCAGCCATCTCCGCAGACAGCGGTCTCCACGCCCACCCACACTAAGTACAAGGTGTCGATGTGTAGGGACACCGCCAACCGCTCCTTCTGTCCACGTGGCAACACGTGCACCTTCGCACATTCCGAAGAGGAGCTCGAGAGGTACTGCACCACTACTACCACCAATGTATTTGATACTATGCAATGTCATTGTACACGCAACCGCTTAACGTCCACACACTATCATAAATTACATATTCCATACCTTGCTATAACATAACCAATCAACTGATATTCAGAAAAATATTATAAAATATATATATATATATATATATATATATATATATTTTATAATATTTTTCTCTCTCTCTCTCTCTCTCTCTTTCTCTCACACACACACACACACACACACACAGAGAGAGAGAGAGAGACACCGTTTTGTACCGAATATAATGTAAATTAATCTAATTAAATAAAAAATGATTTAGAGGAATGATAACGAATATGTCATGCGATTTATTTATTAATTTGCGAAATGTTAATTTGTGTTCGCTATCGTTCGATATGTATTTTAAATGCTATTAATATTTATTTTTAATAATAAAATGCTGACACAAATGGCTTATGCGAGTGAAAATGAAATTGTACGTTTTAAAGCTTTGTGATTACGATTGTGATTTTGCTTTTGTATTATCCTCTGCCCTATAAGCTGTCGTTCCACTGTTTACTTCCTGCGTTCGTTCCTATCATATCGTCTTTCAGACAACTCAATCTCTTTCTCTTGGGGCTTCCCCTCCCTTTATAACTCTTACAATTGTGAAAATTTAATATATTGTTCATGTCTGGTAGATTTTTAACACATTTATCTTATACTAACCGAGTCCATGACTCCGCCCGCGATATGCTGACGGAGCACCAGTGAGGGGTGATAGATGAGGATGAAAAGACAGATCACTTAGCCCATCGTGTGAATGCACTAGAATTCAGCGCAATGGTTTCCAAGGGGGACCACGTGCAGGTCGACTTGACAGGGTATATTGCTAGCAATGGGACTGGTAGTTTGCATTACTAACAATCCCTTCCCCCAAACGCGTTAGGACATAATCTATACGTGTACCAAATTTCATTTAAATCCGTTCAGTAAACATCCATCGTTGAAAACTTTCGCATTTATTATATTAATAGGATATTATTTTTTTAAGCTTTATGAATAGAGTTGCAAAGCTTTTCTTAAGTTCACATTCAAAACTTTAAATTTTGTTGTTTCTTTTTTTTGTGATATCAGAATAAAGATATGCTAGCGCTGTTATGAAAGAGCTGTTGCGATGTATTTTTTTTATATATACATTATTCACGATTTATGCCATAAAAATACCGGCTACATCTAAGCTATTATTGTATTATAAAGATAAGCTTTTTGATTTTTTTGTATGTTTGTTTGTAATGGATAAACACAAATATCACTTAACCCATTTAAATAATTCTTTCACCTATACAAAGCTACGTTATTAGCGTTATTTAGTTAATGAACATCATGAATTTTATTAAAAAAAAAAAACTAAAACCGTTAGTTATACATACATTATTGGACCAACATTCTATGCATATTTAAATAAAAAAATAAAAAAAACAATCGTAAATTCATTACAAAAGTTGTCTGTTTTGATAGTTTTGTCCCATCAGTGTTTCTATCGTGAAGCAGTTGTGCCTGTATGTCTGTCTTTCGGTTTGAAGGGCAGATTGTGGCAGTGAAACCATAGGGACAGGAGGTATAACATTATAGTTCTCAGGAATGGCAACGGGTGGGTGAAAATGGAATGGTAATCCCGTCGGCGCTTTCGGTATACGCTGGCGGGGCACAAGTAAGTTATGATGATAGATGAGGATGGAGGCAAATCAGCTGGCCCATCGTGATGAGTTGAATATGAATTAACCACGATAGTTTCGAGGGGTAATCACGTGGAGTTCGACCTAATAGAGTATATTACTAGGGGCGGTTCTGTGGGACGCCATTTGTAATGATCCCTTTTACCCTGCTAGAAGAGGCTTGCAAGTATCGATTTCTGTATTGCATTACACATAATACAGACATTTATTATCTGTACATTGCGAATGTTCTTTTTGTAAATTTATTAATAATTTATAACTAACTGCCTTAGCGATGAATTGAATTTACTAAGCGAAATTTTATTTCTAATAAAAGTAGCGATTATTTTTCTATTAAATGAAATATTATTAAGATTCACTATTTATTTATTTAATTTTATTTTAATCTTCGTTTTTTCCGTTTATCTATTTGAAAGACGTCAATGAAAATTTTGTACGTAGATTTTCATTTATCCGAGGCTTGTCTCCCATCGGACTTTAAAGCTCGGACAAAATGTCCCTCGTCTATAAGCGTGACTGGTTAACATCCACAAACTTTACAAACTTTCACATTTAACTTACAAGTTTTATAAATGTTAAAACTATAAAATATTTATTTATTATTAATATATACTTTGGCGACTTATGTTTTATTTAGGATTTATGTGCTTCGCACACAACTAGAACGTGTTCTAAATTGACACGTAAGATATTCATTTTAATTTATTAGGGCCAAGCGCAAATTACAGCAGCTATTTTTTTTATACAACTTAGAATGGCAAACAAGCTGACGGCCCACCTGATGGAAAGTGGTAACCGTCGCCTATAGACATGAGCAGTACTATGGACATAACAGGGTATACAGTTTCGCCCATGATACCCCCCATGCGTTGCCATTCCTGAGGACTCAGGTGTTATTCCTCTGTACCCTGTAAATTCACGCCATATCCCACCCTTCAAACCGAAACACAGCCATGCAAACACAACTGCTTCACGGTAGAAACACGAATGGAACAGAGGTACCCAAGCAATCGACTTTTGTACAAAGTCTCCCTCTGGTAATATTAATAGAGCCTTACCAGACAGGTGAAGAATTATTTAATTAAAAATAAAGAAAATTATATGAAAAATATCATATTATATGTTAATTATATATTAGTAATTAATGTCTGCTTAGAGGTTGATTTATTGCTAATTTGATTATTATTGTCCATACAGATACCGATCAACGAATGCGACGAATGGTAATTACCCATTCATGACAGCACTACCGTCGACGATACCGATGCCGCCGCCGCCCCTACCGCCCATATCGCTGCCACAGCCGATGTATCCGCGGTTCCCGCTACCGCAACACCCGACTCACGCGCACATGGATAATTATAATCATCCACGTGAGTATAATCATGGCTTGTATGCTGATATGGACAAGTTGAGCCTTCCCCTTGACACCACTACAGGAATGTTAACGTACGCAGTGTGCCCGCTATCGCAACCGTCGGTCTGTTACTTGCGTCTTCCGGTGGTCACCAGCTCATTCCGTGATGTACAAGTTGATGCTCCCAACAATATTTATTTTTATATATTTATATAGTTCTATCTGCTATTATTAAAACATATAGAGAAAACTTGACATTAAATTTAGAAGATTTTTATTTTTTTTATATATATTTTTCCAATGACTTTTTTGCCCCCTATTTTCGTGTGCGTTTTTTTACCATTTAATTAGATTGTAAGTTCTCCATCTGAGCCAACGGAGTATTATTGGACGGTATAGTTTTGTAACTCATTACATAGTAGCAATAAATTATTAATTTGTAATTTTCGAACAAAAAAGGCGTTTATTAACAATTCGTTAATTAACAATTGTTAATAAGCGCCTTTTTTGCAACAATTAAAAAAAAAAACAAAGATTATTAAAGAACAATTTCGCGTAAATTGTATGAACTGTTCATAAAATTTGTTGTCTCCTGTCTCTGTCTATTTGTTCGTAAAGGCAGATTCTTATTTTCTTTTTCTTGGTTTGTATTCAAATATATTGTCTATGGTGTTATGTAAAATGTAAATTATCTTAACCCTACAACCATAAAATTAACCATAAAACCTTAACCATAAAATACAATGAAACTAGGAGGCCTTATAATTATTTTTTTGTATTAGCAAGATAATTTATATTTCGCTTGTATGAATATAGTAACAGCAGTTTGCGTGTAACGCACGCCTTGATTCACGCACGTCACACATGTCTTGATGTTACCTTCCCTATCACTGTTATTTTCTTTAAAAAAAATCTAATTCTTACAGTGCAACACGTGAGTTTGCCTATAAGTTAAAGTTTTAATAATTATTTTTATCTCCAGCTTTAAAACAGTGTACATCAAGTCATTCTGTAATGATGTTTTACATTGATTTATTGTATTTGTTTGTTAAGTGATATTATTAGTTCATAGTTTTTTTTTACTTTTATCAAAAATATAAATTGTATTTACTAGCATTTACGTCATCTAGTGATAAACGACAGTTACGTAAATCAGCCGATCAATAATAGCATTGTTCTAAAGCATCGTCTGCTTATTAACGTAATGGCTGCTAAATGCGTTGCTTGTAGCGTGTTCCTGTCGATGCTAGAGGGCGTAGCCTGCGAGAAATGTAACAATCCTTACCATCGCTCCTGTTATAATATAAAATAGCTACACTTATGGTAGGTTTTTTTTTCGAGATGATAATGGAAATTGCTATACTTCTGATAGATAGGTGAGGATAAATACAACCCTGTTAGCTTATTGTGATGAATTTCATAAGAGTTAATCACAATGTAACCGCGAGGAGTTCGACCTAAGTGGGTATATTGTTGGAAATGACGCCTCTAATCTCTATTACTAATAATCTCTTTTCCATACACACATACTCTAACATCTTGTGCAATAATTATTTACCTTTACGGTTTTCACCTTCATGTGGTATACTGGCTAGATGAAATTTTTTGACAAGTGTAATAAAATTATCTTAATGAACAATTATAACGGAATATTAATAAAATAGACTATACAATATTAAGATAATCGTATGCCACATGTTGTAACGATATATAAGGGGAAATTTTGTTAACTCCTTCCTTTGTTTTTGATATATGTATTCTTTATTTTTTTTTTCTTTTGGTATTATCAATCTATGTCTACTTTTGTTTGTGTGCAGCAAGTAATGTGACTTACACATTTTTTTTATTAAACTTCATAATTTAATTAAGTTGATTAATTAAATATGTTAAATGATATGTATGCATTTTTTTTTTAAAGAAATTTGGGTTCGGCTCTTCATTATATTTATATCGGTGCCACTTATCACCGAGCATAAAATATGAAATTGAAAGAGTACTAGTTCATATCTACTGAATGCTAATACGCAGTTATAGATACCTATAATTAGAATATGGGCATTGATTTTATGGACATTTCTAAGTAATACTGATTGAATTTTATTTAGCCAAGTGTTTAAATTGTAATTGGGTTTAATCCTATTTTTAACCAACTTGAAAATAGGTGGAGGTTTTATTTTCGTCTGTATATTATTTATATATGCTCACCCATTTCTCCGTCGATTGTAGACGGATTTTAAAAATTATTTTGTTATTCGAAAGAATATACTTCTGAGGTAGGATCGTGATGATTGAATTGTAAAAAAATCCAGGGCAAGCTTTAGATTTTATAGGCACGTATAGTGCTTTATATATTTTTTAAATTTTCTATTTCATGTTTGTATCTGGTAGTCATCTTCTCAAATTGTTCAGCTAATGATCAAATACACTTCTTAAAGGTTAAGAGTTAGGGAATAATTCTTTAAATATTATAGGCACGTATAGACTGTTAGTTGTTATACTTCCTTAAGTTATTCAACTGGGTTGTCGATGGAAGGTTTAAATCCTTAACTGTTAGGAATTAAGAGATAATTTCCCTGCATATTATAGGCAGCTATAAACCGTTATTTAGTCTTTCAAATTATTTAGACGAGTGCATGCTGAGAATGTCAATTCAAGCTTGCGTGTTCACCGCTAAAAAAATTCATTTGCTGTGGCTTCAGTTTACTGCTCAGTTCCAGGGCACATATCTAAAAGCATTGGGATCCTTGGCGTCGACATCTCTAGTGACGTACAGTTCAGTGGCCACCTCGAAGATAAGGTGAAGCTGGCATCCAAAAAACTCGGTGTGCTTAATAGAGTGAAGCATTACTTCACGCCGGATCAGCGATTAATGCTCTATAAATCGCAAATCCGGCCCCACATAGAGTATTGCTGTCACTTATAGGCGGGAGCACCTAAATACCAGCTTAAACCCTTCGACTCAGTGCAACGACGAGCTATGAGAATTGTCGATGATCCCAGGCTTACAAGCGGTATCGAACCATTAAGTCTTAGGAGAGATTTTGCCTCACTCTGCATGTTCTACCGCTTGTACAACGGATTGTGTTCAGAATTGTTCAGTATGATGCCCACGGCCACTTTCTACCATCGTACGGTTCGCCATCGACAAGGCGTTCATCCTCATATCCTACAGTCTAAATGGTCGCATATAGCGCGGTTTCAGAGATGTTTGCTTTCACAAATACTCAGATTATGGAATGTGCTCCTTGCGGAATTTTTCCCAAGAGACTACAGCATGGGGTTCTTCAAAAAGGGGTAAAGAGGTTTCTTCAGGGTCGGCAACGCGCACCTAATACCCCTGGTATTGCAGGCGCTTGTATGCTACGGTAACCATTTACTATCAGGTGGGGCGTATGCATCATTGTCACCTCAGTGGTATAAAAAAATGCTGCTGAGATGATGATGATGGAAGGCACATAACTCTGTATCGGTTAGTGTTTTATTAGCCTGTACAGAGTTATTACATGCGCTATGATTTAAATATATGCTATTGCCGAGTGGGCGATTATGTTTAACATAATTAGATCTAGACAAGTGGCAGCGTGTTCAGTCAATTCTAAGAAAAAAGAACTGGCGACGCAGCAGCCACGCCATATAATACCTACATTGCTTTTCTAATATTGTTTTGTGATATGTGCTACCTACTGATCTTTTTAAAGTCGGTGCCAAATAACCTAATTAATCCTTACAAGGTAAGGAATCAAATAAATAGGGCCTGCGCTGAATAGTTTAGTTTTCAAAATGTAAATTGAGATAAACATATCGCATAACTTGAACTATGCTACTTGTTCCATTTACGGTAACACACTCTTAATGAATCCTAATGTTAGAGAAAATATATTTGATCGCCGATATTGAGGCCCAAGTATCAATTAACCATGAAATTATCTTAGGTAGTTCAGGGCCATTCCTTATGGTAGTCTATGGGAAAGCCCTATGTTCAGCAGTGGACAGATAATCGCTGATTAGATGATGATATAAATATCTTTTCATAATTTTTTTTAACGTATCTTCTATGGCTTTAGATACAAATCGTTTTGCGACTTTTGACATAAATTAACGTTAATATTGCCAGATGCGATTTTGCCCCAATTGTCAAATATGGAGGAAGAACCTCCAAATTCTTTTACCCAATCACAAAGCAGTGTCGATTTTCGTTACGTGTGTAATGAATAATCATAAAGTGAACGACGATATAATTGTGTTCCACAGAAAAAAATAACCGAATCCAATTGTGACTAAATCAGTTATTTTAATTTAAAAACTAAAATTACTAAACGGATTACATAACAATTGATAAAATTTCTATAGGAACACTTTGTAATTATTATTACTCTTTCTGATAAAAAAATAATTTTTCAAATCGGTTTACAACTGACCGAGTTGTGAGGTAATAAATGTAGAAAAACACATCCGAATTGAAAACCGCCATTTAGAAGTTGCGCAAAAAAAAACCGCACTTCTGTATGTACCTGCTTGCATATCTTATCCCATCTTCTGTTTTAATAGTTTAAGATATTTACTTTTTCAAATGATTTACAGTCACAGATGGAGAAAATATAATTTGACAAATAAAGTGACGTGCTCCAAAGTAATTCTAATGTAGGTAGAATTGCGTAAAAAAAGGAAATAATCACAGCAACGGCAGGTAATAATAAATTGGAGGGATACAATGTTTGTTAAGACTCATAGCTGAGTGATTATGACGTATAATTATTGATCGCAATTTTGTTTTGGATACAAGGTTTTTTTTACCATAATATGTATATATTATTTATTATATTAATTACGTATCTATTATATTATTTAATAATTTACATATTATTTTTATTAAGTAAAGTAGGTAATAAACTAATAAATTTTCTTCCAAGTTAATTATAGAGTATTCCTTATTTTTTTTTTATTTTACGCACGTATTTGACAGTAGTATGGTATCATTACATATTCAATAAATACAATAATAGTTTTTTTTTATTTTTTTTTATGTAATAAAAAAAATCCATTAGAAATGTAACAAACCTATGTGTGCATTTATATTTACATATTATTTAAGTTTATATTTTATACAATAACATGCTACGTAATCCTATTGTGTAAATACACACATACATACATACACAGATAGAATATTGTATTTTATTTAATTAATTAAATAGGAATCCTGTAAGATGAATACCCTCAATAACTTTTTAAATTAATTTAGTAATTTTCTTGACTAATACTAAATACTTTTATTCCCGTTCCTTGTCTTTGAAACGATTAAAAAGATTGTTTAATTGGCTTGTTTAGTGACTCGTTTGTGCTATCTATTATTTTGATGTAGGTAATCTGTGAAAGTGTTGTTTTTTTTTTAATATGCAGTTTTCTTATACGATTGAGAAACATTTATAAGTTTGATTTGTAGGTGTGAGATAATTATATTTGAATACGATTTTTATAATTCTTTTATACTTTTTGACATATTTTGCGTATCCGAGTGTATTGAAATATATATTTACATGTCGAAAAGAATACAGTACTTTATCTATTATCTGTTGTCTAAGACTTTTAGAACATTAAATACGTTTACTTACCGTGAGTTGGAATGAAATATTAGATGTTGTTATCTCATTCTACCTCACGGATTTGCTAGCGATGTAAATTCCATAGATTAATTCGTTTTATCACTTGTCTAGAAAGCCTGATTAGGCGTTTTATAGGTTACTTAACATTTTTAATTTTATTTATAATTAATAATGATTTATGTAGTTTTTGGTATATCCTTTTTTTTGTTTATTTCTTAACTTGTTTGTTTAACTAATCACTATAAATTGAGTATATACGTACGTATTATATGAGATAGAGAAGGATGTAAGCTATTTTTTATCCCGGTTAGTAATCAAATCGCGGTCAAGTGGACGAATACGCGGGTAAAAGATAGTATTTAATACAGTTGTTGCTCGTAATGCAATGTCCAAACTTTACAGCGTTATGTCATCACAGAAGTGTTATTTATTTATAAAATAATGCGTGAGCTAATTCAGAAAAGTTTGTCTAATAAAATGACCCGACAACTAATCGAGCCGGACATCTGGGGGTCTACCATGAAATGATATTCGGAATTTTCGAAATCAATCTCATGTTTCTGTTCATAACAAAATCGGCCCAGTAAATGGAGTTTAACATTTCGTTCAGTAATCTTCTATCGTAATTGTCCAAAGGAACGATATATTAACAATTTTAATATTTTTAAACTGTATATAATTTTACGTCAAATTAGTGTTTTGTTTGGCTCCGAAGTTTTGTACTATATTTCGTGGTTAATCCTCAAAATGAATCATATAATATGATATATGAAATGAGATTTATTCGTAAAAGGCATAACTGTAATTTCTTAACTAATATTAATATTATAGTTTTATAAGGGTACAGTAATTATGGTTTTAGAACTGGGCTCCTAAATAGGTTAATATAATAACCTGTGTTTAGGCGCCACAGCCCCAACCCCCTTTAGTAAGGAGGAAAGGGATTGTTAACAATGGAGATTGATTGGAGAGGGATTGTTAACTGCCCCATTGTTAGCAATATACCCTATTAGGTCGACCTCCACGTGGTTCCCCTTGGAAACCATCGTGAACAATTCTTGTTGAATTCATCACGATTGGCTAACTGGCCTGCTTCATCCTCACTTATCATCCTTCACTGGTGCCCCGTCGGTGTATACCGTTAGCGCGGGTGGGGTTACCATTCCATTATCACACATTAAAAAAAAACCCCTTTAGTATTATAATACTCGATATGCTTTTGTGTGTGCGTTTTCTATATTTTTTCAATTCAAATATGTTGTTTGTTTTATTTCAGCATCAATGCCGGCGATGCCCAATCAAGCCTTGTCCTCTGATATACTGCCGAATCCTGATTTCCAGCCGGATTCAGCGCACAACGTGGATGGAATTGCACCCTCGTGAGTAAAATATCTGTGGCCACCATATTTACATAGTTATCATCATCATCATCATCACTATAACATAATAAACAACATAAATAACTCTCTTACTAGTCGTCAATTAAACTTTCAATCAATCAATCATTAATTCTTTCAATCATACATTTATCGTTTCAGTCATTCATTGATTGAATTAAATAATATTAAATTATTGCCAACATAAAAAAAAATCAAATCTTCAAATCAAAAAATTAAATTTTATTTATATAGCAGTCACTAAGAGAGTTTTTCAATACGCTTGTATTTTTTGTGTGTATGTTACGCGATATATTCATTACTTGTTAAGTGATTTCCCTTTTACAATTGATATGGTAGACTTTTACAATTGATATGGTAGAAGATCTGTTAAAAATGTACTTAGATCTGACAAGATCTAAAAGATCGGCAGCACACCTGCAATGCCGCTGGTGTTGTGGGTGATCATGGGCGGCGGTAGTACGGTTTACCATCAGGTGAGCCGCACGCTCGTTTGCCCTCTGTGTTGTAAAAAAAAAACATCATAAAAGCATTGTCTCCGTAAACAGTTTTGATAATTCAAAAACTACAGGTTTTTCGAGTTTATCATAAAATTTCACAGCAAATCCGCTGGTTCAGTTCGCTCATTCTAAAATCCGCCAAACGAAAAAAAAAAACACGCTTTATAAACAATCGTATAGCTAAAGCAACCAATAAGAATATTTGCAATTAAAAAATACTTTGTAATCAATTGATCTGTGCCGCCATGTGGATTTTCACAACAAGTGGATTTTCCTGGAACTAAGTGGGCTTGCGCAATTCAGGCAGTCTACTTATCTTTTTTAACAGACTATATCCCTGCAAGTCTCTCAATATTTTTTAGAATTGTGGGTATTAGCCCCATAAACTGCCATAAGGATCGGGATCATTCCTTATAAATTAACATTTTACTATTGGGGGGATTTTATTATTAGTAGGTACGCTTGCAGGCGAATTAGTTAGCTTTTTGGTGACGTTGTTGCCCATTACTCGACCATTAAGTTTCCTAAGTCGCTTCTTTTGTCACCTACGAGAAAGGAAGGGAAGGGGTGGCCGATTCTATGCCGGGACCACACTGCCACTGTATCGGTACAGATATCACTAATGCCTAATTTTACACTTTTCAAAAACTAAAACCTTTTGTTTCAGAAATTATGCGTCGTCAATGCTCCATAGCCAGTCGCCATTGGGAATGAACCAAAACGGGATAATGATATCGGTCTCCGAACGGCCCTACTATGGCCGTTTCAGTGGGATCCTTACCATACACGAGGAGCCCACGAACAATCTCCAATACACCAGGCCCGACTTCACCAGTCCAATGTTCCAAACGCAAGCCTCAAATATGCCATACCAAGCTGGGGAGCAGAACTTGGCGTCATCAATGACCAACATCTTCGTCCCCATTCAGCATGATCAGCCGAGGAACATAAGTCCTTTCCCATTCGAAGATTGTGAGTGTTTAATTTTATATATATATATAATTTTTTTTATATAAAAACTCAAGTTGGAACAAAACAAAATGCGTTTAAAATTTCATTAAAATCAATTCGTATAATGCGTTTAGTTTATTTATTGTATTCAATTTATATGTATTGAACTCGGTCTATTGAATAAATCGAGCAGTTTCGGTGATTAACATAAACAAACGGCGTAGCACGTGATATTTATTTATATATTAAAATATACAATTTGATAACTGCTTGACTCCCATGAGGAGATAAAATTTGTTGACTAGGACATGGTTGGGATGCATTCTGAATAATAATTTATTCTAATGTGGATGGAGGGAAGTAAACAATCATAACAACAATGTAAAACGTAAAAAAATAAATATATATGGTGTTGTTTTACAGTTGTTTTAAAACTTTTTCAGATTAACTCATCCATTTGATGAATAAATAAATGAAAATAAAAAAATTTGGGTGTATGTTTTGTTCATATTAAATCATGCCTTCACAAATTATAAACAGATTGGAGTGATGTTAAATTTTTCAAGTAAATGTTTTAAAATTGAAATAAATTATTTGCAACTTGCAGTCCCATCGGATGACTATCTCCTGCCGGACTACAGAGTGAAGCTCTCCCCAGCCTTTACTGGCACAGTGCAACTGGAGAGACGCCCGGAGCCCACCTGGCCGCCAGGGAACGATGTAAGATGTTAAATATTTTAATTTATTCACTATCTTCTCTCTCCTGGAGAGACCTTTACAAAAATCACCTTCCTGAGTACCTCTGTGCCATTCATGTTTCTGCCATGAAGCAGCTATGCTTGTATGCCTGTGTTTTGGTTTGAAGGATGGGATATGGCAGTAAAATTACAGGGTACGGACATGATATATATATATATATATATATATATATATATATATATATATATATATATATAACATAAAGTTCATTCTGTATGTACATTCTGTATAATTTATACTCCTTTTTATGTCTATAAGCAATGGTTACTATTTTATATTAAGAGCAGCTTGTTTGTCAATAAAAGTCGTTTAAAAAATGTATTAAACAGCAAAATAGAATAACACTTGTTCACCTGTTGTTGGCAGTTGTTTCATTTCGACAACATGAGAAATGCAATGCCGCGTTGCTCCACCAATCCTGAAGATGTGAGTACATTTTGATATTTTTTTTTTTATTATAGGAAAACCGACAATTCACTAAAAAAAACCAAACAAATAATCAATTTTAATACTTATCAGTATTAGCTCAGTATATGTCAGAGTTACACATATAAAGTATGGTGTAATAGATCCTAATAATATAATGAATGAATGAGTGAATTTTATTGCAAAAATGTGGTACAATGTTTATTTATTTATTTTATACTTTATTGCACCAAGTAAAAAGAGAAATAACAAATATAGTAAATATTAATGAGAAGTGATACAAAAGGCGGCCTTATCGCTAAGCAATCTCTTCCAGACAATCTTTGTGTAGAGGGCATTGAGAAAAAGACAAAGGGTAGGTAGGGTACGCACTATTATATAAATATTATCATATACAAACATATATACATACATACATATACATACACATACATAATATATACACAATTAAATATATACATAACATACACATACTTAACAATAAGGTCATATGGTAGTATTATAATATTTTCACACATTATGTCATTACTGACGTGCAACAGTCATTACATAAGTTATGACAAAATAATTCTTTAATATATAATAATATAATATATTAACATGTAAAATTTTTAAACGCTAATTGTACAGATATAATATATTGCAATTTTTTTTGATGGGTTAACATGGCATGGTAACCCTGCGCTAACGAGATACGCTGGCGGAGCACCAGTGAAGGGTGATAGATGAGAATGGAAACAGGCCAGTTAGCCTATCATGATAAATTCATCAGGAATTAACCATGATAGTTTCCAGGGGGAACCGCGAGGAGGTCGACCTGGTTGGGTATATTGCTAGCAATAGGATTCTCAGTCTCCATTACTAACAATCCCTTTCCTCTCATTATTGTGTAGTTTGAATTATATGTAATGTTTAGAATGTATAAGGACAAATAGCTAAGATAAATAAGTCGTAGTTGGCTATAGTAGACTAGTCCGTACCTACTACCCGTTCCCGAGTATGACTCAAGACAGTATCATTCGTTCCAGATGTTCAACGTGACGGGCGACCGCCGGGCGGTTGGTGCGGACCGACTAGCGGTAGTGGCCGACAGGCTCGCAGTGGCCGCTACCTCTGATTTATCCAATAGGGCTGATGATGTAAGTATATTTTGCCTGAACGATTCCTGGATTCGATTTTTGGTCAGACCAATTTAGAAAACGAATTTTTCAAAATTAACTGCCGACGTTGCTACACTTCGCCAAGCTTCGATATGAACGTTCTTAAATCCAGAATTTTTTTAATACAACTAGGCATGGCAAATAGGCTGATGGTTCACGTAGTGGCAACAATTAAAAAATTAAAATGAATTATTATATCTATTAATTATTTAAAATACTAATGAATTAAATTACAAGGTACAAAGGCAAGGTACAAACCTTAATCCTCAGGACAGAAGGACGCATGAAGGATATCATGAGCGAAATACTATACTCTGTTATGTACGTGATACTGTTCATGTCTATAGGCGACGGTTACTACTTTCTATCAGGTGGGCCGTCAGCTTGTTTCCCATTGATTGCAAATGATGGCGTTAATTAACGTCCCTTATAATCTTTTCTGAGCGACAGTTTAATAAGTATCGAATTTTCAGCAGGAGCTAGAAGAAGAACTACAAGCGTTGGAGCGACGCATAGATACGGAATTCAAGAGTACAGACTAAATAAGCATACTGTGATCCCTATGGGCCCCTAATACGTGGACAAACGCACCCACATTCGTTTACTGAAGATCTGTATAGGTGACAGCAACCGATAAGAGGTAAACAAACCTCATTCATATATCGGAGAGGACACTTTTTATTTTGAACCATAGACACGCCTTCCATATTTGAATTTTATTTTTACGTTAAGTTTTTCTCTCCGAGATTTATACATGAAGTGTTACGTGATTGAATAGTTTTATACACTTTTGTCACCTATGGTAGTGCAACAAGTTATGTGCAGTTTACAAGCCTAAAGAGTACACGAATGAATTTTTTTTTATTTTAAATTTATTTTATATGAACTTTAATATTGCTTTTACAACTTCATCAACGATTTATTTGTAATAATGTTATAACCAATATTTATCATACCTTAAATGTGAAAGTTGCAAAAGTGATATTGAATATGAATATAGTTGTTAATTATATAAATATTATAATTAATGATTATAGTAATTAATAATATAGTTATGAATGGTTATGTTAAAGGAAAAATGGTCGACCGATGAACCTAACGTCACCGTCGCGTTCTTATATATATATATATATATATATATATATATATATATATATATATATATATATATATATATATATATATATACGCTATTATTTATTGAATTATTAATTATTGTTGGAAGTGTTTATTCGATGTCAGTTTTCGTTCATTTTAATATTAGCCCCTCGAGACAAATGGTATAAATGTCCATTTCTAAATAAGTTTGCGTCACGTGCTGTGAAGTGTTTAAAAATGGTTACATTAACTTCTTGTCTAGAGGGCCCAATGAACACAATTGGAATACTCGGCCTGTTTCATGAATTGCTGATAAACTCACATGTTGACGAGTAGTCGATTTGTGTAAATGACATTCTATATTTAAATGTATCTGTCGGATTTTTGTTCTTCAGAATTGTGTTTATCAATAAAACATGAATCAAGCTGATAATAGTGAGGGCGATTCAAAATGCGAGTCAATAATCGGACACATCATAAGTTGCATAAGGCGTGCGTTACATTCAATTATAATGTTAAATATATTTAAATAGTATTTGTGTTTTTTTTTTTATTGTCGTAGTTGCCAGTATAACGACACAACGGTTCTTGCCCCCTTGTTTTCCAATATTTTTTTTGTGTTGTTTATCAGAGATAGTGTATTAATTTTCATATTATGCTGCGATAAGATCAAGATTTCTATAATATTTTTAGTATTATTTATACATTCCTAAATGTGGCTCGGGGTTTATGGACTCGTGTTTTGAACGACTCGATATATATTCCATTCACGTAGACTGTATAAAAAAAAAAAAAAAAAACTATTAGTGACCTCGTATAAATACTGCCCTATTAACAATAGTATACTTAGACTTGGCCTAAATTAGTCAAATAGCGAAATTCTAGATCTCTCAATTCTAAACATTTTTTTATAGACGTTAACATCACATTAACATTAATGCTAATAGCGTGTGTGATAAATCCTATATGCGTCCCTGTCGTTTTCATTGCGTTGAAGCGGGAGAGTGCCAGATTACACCCAATATTGGGGTATATAGTCTTATATAGACGCGATTTGTCGACCGTTAAAACAATGGGGAATTTATATATGAAATATTAAAGGAAAATGCTGTTAGCTCGTTGCAGTATTTATCTTATTTTAAAACTCTCATTCCGTCTCAACAAAAAGAAAAACGGTTATATGAAATAAAAATTGTGTATTTTGTAAATTAGTTTGTTTTAAATTATTTATTATTATTTATAAGCATGATATGGTCGGTCATTTTAATTGCATGAGTTATTTAATGATGTCAACATGTGTCCCTCGTAGCGAAGTGGAAACGTTGATATTGTCAATTTTAAAATGTCTCTGTTTCACACGTGGTGCCGTAGTTTGAAAAACTATGTACCTTAGCATGTTTGTGTGGAACTTTTTGAATACTGCATCGAACTGCCGGGTGTGTTGACGATAGAAAGATGACACAAAAAATTGAAATGCACTTAATTGTTTAACAGTAATATTCTAAATATATAATGCACATATATCGATAAATAACACCATTTATATTTTAGAAACATACTAGTAAATTATAAACGAAAGCCTTATTTAAGAAAGTGCCTGTACTAATCGGTTGCTAATTTTATGTATATATATATATATATATATATATATATATATATATATATATATATATATATATATATATATATATATTGTGTAGATTTAGCGAGCAATGCGTTTCATAATTGTGTCATCTTACTTTTGAATAACTATGCATGTTGCTACTGATTTTGCTAGTATTTATTTTTATACGTAAATAAATTCGGTTCTGAGCTCTGAGCCTAAAATGGAAGATGTAATGCAATAACTAGCTTTCACCTGTCACCTCGTCCGCGTGAAAAGTATATGTTGACTTCTCCAATCCTATTTAATATATATGTATACCAAATTTCATAGTGGTTGGTTAAGTCATAAAAATGCTAGGAGGTAACAAAACAAACAAACAAATAAACTCGCTATCACATTTATAATATTAAATATAAATAAGATAATGCTTTGCAAATAAAATTGAAATTTGCCTGCAATATTTAAATGTTCGATGAAAACAATCCCTAAAGCGTAGCGTAGGCATATTTCGAGTTAATTTATTAAACATTATGAGTAAATAAAGATACATAGCCCAAGCTACTTACGAGCAGTTAGTAGATAGACATATAGCTTTTTCACGTTTAATTTGTACTATATTTATGTATATACATACATGTATAACGAGAAAAAAATAAATTTCAATATAGAACAATTTATAAAAATAAAACAAATAACTGTTTAATTGCTAATGGGAATATATATAGTGTAAGTTAACAAGCATAATAAATACATTGCTTTTTCCCACAATCCTTATTTTATTATTTCTTGAAATACGGATTAAATTAATTTAATAATTAATATAATTGTAATTGAAGTAATTATTTAGTAGTTGCTTGTGCAAGTTTGAACAGAATAGGTTTTCGTTGAGGTTATACGCTCAAATGGTCCATGGCCTGATTGCAGTAACATCTATCATTTTAGCTACTGGGCTCATAACGCGATGAACTAAACTCCTGTACATACAAGCCAACTATTTACTTCCTTTAATAGAAATGGTTGCGGCCGTTATTTTATTTCTTACATCTACATATAAATTTTTTAAATATACACAGATTACGTGGTGTCGCCACTGACTGTAAAAGTATACAGTTGAGATTAAATCGAGTTCGTTTTAAGATATTTTTTGAGGACTTATACTTAAGAGTTGCAACGTCACGAACCCATATCGAATTTTGCTTTATTAATATTATTATTTTTTACTTTACATGCTATATAATGCGTGTGAAAATTTACACATTTTGACCAACATCACAAAAAATATGTAAAAGAATGATAAAAAGATCAGCAAAATTTTACTGCATTGTGACGTCACGATTCTTAAGTGGAAGACGTTCTCTCGTCTCAATTGTTATGCAACGTAAATTCTTAATTTCGTAAAGGATATTCAAATGCAGCGATGTTTCGAGTGCCTCGAACGACTGTTTTGAAATCCTCAAAGTCTGAAATTTATTTAAATTTTGATTTAACCACACTAAGTCGTAACAATGATTGTACTTATTTGTAATTGAACTAGGCAGTGCTGCGCATCGCGGCTCGACCGTGTCTTAATTTGTAGCGAATGTTAACCCGTTATAAACTAGCTACGTTTGGTACGGTGGAATTTTTGATGTTACCTTTCTCATAAAGATCCGTAAATATAGACAGTTAAGTAACGAACAGTGGCCTTATTGTCCGATAGCAATCAATAGCTAAGATAGATTTATTAGATGTTTGATGTTTTTATGTGTAAGGGGGCGGGTGAGGGGGGGGGTAATGTTTTATACTAAACGCGAGTTTGTCTTCAACACACGCTCAAGACAATGTTTGCCATCTCGTTTTGCCAAGATACAATATATTATATGTGTACATCAACCATGGATTTTGTATCTCGTACGCTTTTTATACATATTGGCATTCGGTAAATAAGTAGTGGATGTCAAAAAAACCATCGTGCCGTGTAGCTATGTAGGGTGTGGGGTGGTAACTAGCAGAGTTCGCTTCGATCTTACATAATAATAATGTTGCTAGATTATAGACTTAATGGATTTATGGGAGCGATATCTAAGGTTGGTGATATTTATTCCCTATCGTTATAGGAAAATGAAATAATATAAGGCTGTAATATAGATGTAACTGAGAGATTCAACTCGACGTTTTCATTATGTAAATAATTTTGTTGTATATATTTTTAATTTTTTTAATTTATCGAGTAAATTAAATGATGACCAGCGGTCTCCCGCGTACCGCGAATGGGATCTGGTTGATTAATTAAGAATTAATTTGCTTTATAAGTTATTACATCACATGGCAGCCGCGAGAGGGGAAAGGTAAGACTTATTGTCGTTATATTTGTCTAAATTGATTACCATAGTTGGCTAAGTGTTTAACATGGGGTAGTAGTTGGGAGGTATGTTTACTATGCCACAAATTGCTGTCAAAATCATCACTATATATTTTAGTTTTAATTATCATATTGAAAGGCAAGGCCTACTCAATACTCACAAAGGGTTATCCTAGATAGCTTCTACGAGGATCTACCATCGATACGATTGGAGATACGTGCAATACCTAACAACCAGATGGAATCTGTCAATTAGGGAACTTAATGCATTTAAACAAGAGTCATTTTCCCTCGACAGCAACGCCTCGAACGACTCGGTCTGAGTAACTTGTATAGTCATGCCAATTTTATTTTGGTCTAATATTTTTCCTAGGAAAAATCATATTTATATAACGGTCTGTTTAAAGACCCCCTCAATGATTTTAGCTTTGTGATTTTTACGTGCAATGTTGGCTAAAGATGGTTGCTCAAGCGCAAACAGTGTCATTCGATCTTGGCGCGGGAACTCATTGAAGTGGTTATTGTAAATAAACGTTTGTAGTGAAAAGTTAATGTTGAATTTTGCATAATTATACAATATACTTTTTTTTTTTTATTATCGTAGGTTTTTTTTTTTACAAATGAACTTATACATCAGTGAACCAAACAAATAGTAATTAAAATATTATAGTGCGTTTTTCCATGCGGCATGGATAGCACATCATAGTTATTTATTTTTTATAAAGAGAAATAATATTAATAATTTAAATGAACTTTTAGTGAACATTTGAAAATAAATTATTAGGAGCTAGTGTTGCCAGGTGTTTTATTAAGTGTGTGTTTTTTTATTTAAGTTACTAATTGAATTTCTACTACAGCGATGATTATATTTTTACTACAGCAACACACAATGGCCTTTTTTCTAAAATTGCCCTTTATGTCTGGTAGCACTACAACTACTATAGCGGGTTTATGATAACTAAATAGATTTTATTTTTAATCTGTACTGTAATGCGAATATTTTGTAATAGATTACTAGCTACCGAAATGCGTTTTGTAATTTCCCATCGCACCAATGATGCCCATTCTAAAGTGTTATTC